AGTTATTCATGCCGGCTAAACATCATTTCTCACCGCAATGTTGTAGCGAACAACCAGATCGTAGTACTGAGAGTCTTCCTTTGCCATCAAGGCACCGGGCTTTAGGTGTCGGTTTTCCTCATTCAGTTGACAGTTATCCTGGTTGGAATATTTCAAAAAGTTGAAAGAGATACAACGGCAGTTTGGTTGGCATGCTCTGTAACAATCCATCACTTTGGTCACTGAGACATTTGCAAACACGTGACCAACTAGGGCGTGCCCATCCACCATGTTCCTTCCAATAATGAAGTGGAATGAGACGGGACACTTGTCGTCGCTGCAGGAGCCCGTGGTGAATGGAATTATGAATCCAGCGGTTATCAGCAATGGAATTATGCTGTGCCAAAGGCAAGCAGGCCAAATTTCCCTGAGATGTGATACAATTTCATGTAAATTTACTTCAGTGGGTAACATCTTGAATAATAATATTTTAACGTCATCTGTGTTCTATGACTGAACGGACCCACGGAGCCATGGAATCTATCTGTTAACTTTTTAACTCTCAGAAGTGATTTCCATGTAACTTCTCCCTACAATATCCATACACCAATCAACAAACAGGTAATGAGATTACTAAAACTTATCAGTTAGAGGTTATTATCAGGATATAACACCGAATTCTTGTCACTAAATTGCAAGAAAATGTGTAACAGCTAGATGGGAGAATTAGCAATCAGATCTTGGGAGTTAAAGGGTTAAGGAGAAAATGTTGATTTGAATATTTCAAAGGACGTCCGTTCTGAAGATTTTAAAGCTGGCTGGGTGTGCTCGATAATCACAGAAAATCGATCTACGGACTCTGAACTCAAACGCAGTATTTTTTTAAAAGGAAATATGTTATATTGAATTATTTTCACATCAGCTGTCATGGAGTGACGTCGAGCCGCCGAGGCTTTCAGACTGATAAACGTTTCATAATACTATTTATTCAGATTCCCGTTGCCTGTTGCGATGTATTCATTGAACTCAGCTCCTTTTTTTTGGGTTCTCTTTGTCTCTGGCATCAGCCCTCAGGTTAATTTTTCTCACTAATGAGTTACAAGTCATAAAAATTTATAAGCTGCAGGAAAATTTAGTGAGAAATCAAGCCAACGGAACAAACGACAGTCAAAGCTTCTCTTAGTTATATTGAAGGGATATCTGTCAGATCTGCTTTTACTTCATTCACTGTAAAATTACCATATCCTGTTCTACTTACATTTCAAGCTGGTTAGCGTCACAGGATAGCTTTTTCTTTTGGTTCGGTCTCACTTCAGTTATGAAAAAAAATTCATAGATAATCAATTTAATTTCACAAAATTGAGACTGCGTCATTTACAATTTAATCTCAATTTAAAACTAACTGAAAGTACACGAACCTGAACTAAATTAACACATTTTCGAGGGCGCAATAACAATAAATTTTCACTAAAAAATTGCTGAACTAAGTTAAAACACCTGCTCCTCTCCGAGCGATCGAGTTTTCTTTACTTTCTCTTTTGATATAAGTTATTATATCCAAGTTTCTTAACTTACTACGGGTGTTTTTAAAACTTAGGGAAAACTGTTCGAAAGATAACATTATTTAAGGCACATATCAGGCCACGTTTTGACTTTTCACTCGAGCATGCTTTCATTTGTGACTCAGACCTAAGGTGTTACTCATTTCTGTAAAGATACTGCTCCTCTCCGAGCGATCGAGTTTTTTTTTAAATTTTCTCGAGTTTTCTTTACTTTCTCTTTTGATATAAGTTATTATATCCAAGTTGGTTAACTTACTACGGGTGTTTTTAAAACTTAGGGAATACTGTTCGAAAGATAACATCATATAAGGTACATGTCAAGCTAAGTTGTCACTTTTCACACGAGTATGCCTTCATTTCTGACTCAGATCCAAGGTGTTACTCATTTCTGTAAAGATACTGCTTTAAGATAACTTTGTTCATTTTTTTATCGAAAAAAAGTGAAGGCCTACCTTTATCTTAAAGTCTTCAAAACTGGTGTTTATATTCTTTGGTCTAAATCTTCTGTTACTGTAATAACCATCATGGTTCAAACAAACTTATTGACTCCACTAAATTCTTAAACAATGTTTATGACGGTGAATAATTTATTTGGCCGATGATTGGCATATGCATCTCGTTCATCAATATTTCAAGGTTTTTCTAATTTTCCCTTTTTTGAGAAATCTAATTCTTGTCAAATTTTTCAATTTTGTTTCATCGTACCAGATTTATAGAGAGGTAACCACTAATAAAAGTAACAGATGTCTCGGTGTCTTAATTGCACCATTGTGAAGGTGACGGAGGAAAATATTGAAGAAACTTATATATACATTGCAAACAATTTAATATTATGACAATGGTCGCGCGCCGACATTAATGTGAGGATTAAAAGTGTACTTTCCAGCTTATCGAGTTTCATTGGACATTTTATCACCAAGTTTAATTAAAGCATTTTGCGTACTTATCAACAATCACACTTTTTACTGAATTAGGCAGAAATAAGTAAACGTGTCACAAGGTTGCTAAGGGACTGGTCATAATTTAAAGCCTGGGGGGGGGAGGGGAGTGTAGTTGGAGGAATTTGGTTGTGTTACGTTAAAAATTTATCTGAAATTCTTATGATCTCCTCCTCATTGGCAGTTAATTGGGCGGTTACCTGGCGGTCAAATTTTAACAGTCCTACTCTGTTGGTGACGACTAATCCCCCCCTCCCCTGTGTTTCCAATTAAATTGATCATCGTTATCACACAATAACGTAAACCGAAGCCGGTCGGATCTATGATTGGTGCAAAACTGTTTACCAAGTTTTGTTATCCGGTATTTTTTCAGTCTCGTCGTTTGTATCATCCTTACATGGTCAAGGAAGGTACTTTCCTTTGAGAAGTTGCCTGTGTTTTTGGTCCTCGGGAATAATGTCTACCTTTTCTCATTTTAAGCGAATCCTTGTTCGTCAGCCTTTCCCACCTGGTTTCTTCATTGATCTTCCCCCAAAAAAGCAATGAGGCTTATAAAGTTTAGCATGACATGAATTTGCATGAGGGTTTGGATAGAATTAACTAACGAGCCACAAATTTCCATTATTAAACGGAAAACTGAAAAAAAAAATTGAGAATATGAGCAGCAATTGACTACGGCACTTAAAACATTATACTGATAAAATTAATCATCATGGTTACGTAATCAGCCAACTCATCTGAATCCAAGTACCACGTTTAAGTAATCTTTCAACAATAAATATGTAAAATCATCCTTTTAAGGATATCTATCTTTACAAATTAAAATTTGTAAAATATGATATTTACTGCCTAACATAAAGTGAGATAATGTAACGACAACACTTTTTTACACATTTAAGTATGACCGAAGGGCGAGTGCAATTTGAAGTCTTTGAAAAACTTGAGATAATTGATCACCTGCTGACTACCAGTTAATAATTAACAGACAAAACTTTGACTCTGTTTTCCTCCATTAGGCTTGCTTGCGTAAAACACCTTTGTTTGCTTCATTCTATCAACATTTTCGTCATAGCCCCTTTGAAAAAGCCTAGGACCCTTATACCTTCGGCCAGTTTTTTTTACTTTTCTGGTAGTTTTTGTTGTTTGCTTTTAACTTCAAACTCTAGAGAAAAACATCGTTACTTTCACTCAAACTGTCCGCCACTTTAGGCTTGCGTGCGTAAAACTCCTTTTCTTTTTGCTTCATTCTTTCAACATTTTCGTCATGGCCCCTTTTAAAAAGCCCATCACGAGAAATCGGATTAACAACTTTAAGGTTCACGTATCGCGAAAAGCAAGGAATTCACAGTTAACGGGGTTTTTATTTCGTATTTTCACAGGTCATGTCACATTAATTTATTCCGCATCACACCCCGTCTACAATGTATATCTTTTATTACTATACCTACTATGACTCAAATTACACACAACATACTACTACCCCACCCGCCTTTCCAGTCACTACCTAGGAAAAATGAATAAAACGGTTAACACATGTTAAATGAATAACTCTTCGCTTAAAGAGGTCATGAATTTTTTGATTACAACTTTGCAGCTCAGAACTGCTAAGTCTTTGAATGATTTCCCATTTTAACACGATGGAAGGGAGCGAGAAGAGGTACTCAAATATTTCTCTAAGTCAGTTTTGCATTAGGTTATGTTGTTGTTTGGGCAAGTTAAAGCCTGGTGGTATTGCCCTTCAACGAGAATTATTTTCTTAAATGCAGCAGTTTATTGTTATTTCTTTTGGCGATGAAACTCTATTAATGGACAGTTTTATTTAAGCTAGGTGTTTTACTACAGTACCAGTTATTACGTAACTACGTAATTTTTACATAATTTTAGCGAGCGAGTGCTTAGAATTTTCTTAAAAATTATGGCCGCCATCTTTGATTTTAATGACCGCGGAAGGCTGGGGAAGGAAAGAAATTTGTGTCAACGGGGCTGTCGTCGGTCAAAATTAAGAAGAAGGGTAGGGGTGGAGAACTGAAGATTACCCCCCTACCTCCAACATCCATTATAACTCCAAATCAAAGCTTACAACGTTCGCTCACACTAATTAGACGCCTGCAGGCAAGATGTGACTGAGGCATGCAGTAAATTTGAACAGCACTCGAGTAGCTTTAGATGCTCTCACTTACGCCTCGAGTAACTTTGGCGCATCTTTCATGCTTTCAAAACTCAAGCTAAGTTGTTTTCGGCCACGACTCGAGCAATCTTTCATCTTATTTTAAATCTTCTGCTGTGCTTCATATCTCAATGTACAAAACTCGGTTTACTAATGAAATGGCTATGAATTGGTGATACTTATAGTGTTACATCAACAGCATCCACCATAACAGACATAAGTTTCTTTCCCTCGGTTAGAAATTCACTCTTGTTTTTCTTGAAGCCGTCTTTGTAACAAATACACCAAGGAATCTTTTATATCTCTTTAAATCTTACAATGTGCTTCATATATATAATAATGCAAACTGACACATGCACCAATCGTTAACAGTTGAGTTCCATTGTGTAAGATTGACAGCATACTCAGAAGAGATCATAAAGAGATCTTTATTTTCCGTCCCTGGTTTGGCAATCCTCTCTTGTTGCATTAGATAACTGTTACGAAACAAAAGCATGACTAAAGGTTTGCTACATAGCACTGTGGAAAACGTTTCTATGACACCAAATAACTCACTGTAAAATGTCTCCAAAAATCAGGTCTTAATAATATGCGCGCTAACAAAATCCGCAAGCTAATTTGTATAAGGCGAGGATGCTTTGTTAGCTTGTCACGAGCTTGTCACGCAATATAAACGAGCGTCAAAAATTTAGGCAGAATTACACGATATTACGGCCTTTAAAGACTCTCACATACCTTGGCAACCATACAGCTCCACTCTCATGGCTATCACCTTGTGCCAAGCTATTGGTCGAAAACGAATGTAACGTGCTGCGATTGGTGGAGTAAGGTCATGGGACACCACAGTGGTACCATCTGTGTTTCCAGATAATTCCTTTAAACAACATGTATACGTTATTGACCAGGTCTGAGGTCAACATGGCTTGGTATTGGCCGAGCTTCTGTTTTTTGGGCATTTTCATGGACCGAGACAAATTTTCTTTTTCTTATTGCCCACTTTTTTCATATTGCCCACGGCTGCCAGCTGTTTAATAACCACCCATTTCAAAGTATCTAAATATATTTTCAAAACCAACCTCATGTAAAGACCATTAAGCACAATGACTAACCGTTATACTTTGTCCTCGCTCTTTGTAGTACTGGAAGGTCGGCCCGTCGCTACTGTACAGCAGATTATATTTAGTCACCCAATGAGTAGCCTTGTATCTTCCTTGAGTTGCCACGCGAGTCACGCCGTGTTGTGTGACCAAATCAATCTGGAGCCACTGATTTGCGTCTGATGTTGATGGTTCCCAGGCCTCTTGGTGTACATTTTGAACTGCTTTATTGTGGAGTCTGGCGTAAACAGCAGCGTGGTATATACTATACTGTGACGAGGCACTAATTTGACCGTCAAGGATTGCACGGCTTTCCATACCGAGGGCGCGGTGACAATCTAAACGTCGAACGAGTCGAAATCGTTATTGTCAATATACAGTTGGTGTATAGAACTCAAGGTGTAACCATGCAATTGTATGTGTGGCTTTAGCTGAAGTAATGGCGGGGTAAAATACATTCTTTTTAGATCTATTCAAGAGAACATCGACTCACCTACTTATAAAATAATACGATACTAATGACATAGTGAAAATTCTGGAAAAAAGATCTGTTGTACGCAGAATCACAACATGTGATAAGTTTACTGAAGAACGTAAAGTTTCGAAAAGAGACCATGATGCTCTTTTGATTCGACTAGTAAGGCTTGCTAAAACAAAAGTCTCTATTACCATGACAACCATACAGCTCCACTCTCATGGCTATCTGCCAGTGCCAAGCCAATGGTCGGAAACGAATGTAACGCGCCATGATTGGTGGAATCAGGTCATGTGACACCACAGATGTACTGTCGCTGTTTCCTGAATATTCCTTAAAGAATATAGAGATGCCATGAAAAAATTGTTACTATAGTAACAATAGCTCTTGTTGACCTTATACTTGTGCGAGGCTTTCGTTTCGTTTCATCTTTTGATCGAAACTGATTTAATGAAACATGTATCGCACTGTTTTGGAGTCTGTATTGGAAATTCAATTACTTAACCATACTTTGACCAAAGCAGACTCTTAAGCTAACGCAAATTAATTATAATCTCAAACAGGTTTGCAGATAATGAAGCGATGATTGGCTGAACAAAAACTTTCGCATTAACCTACCACATAAAGCGTGAAAAATAAACTGCAAGTCCAAATATCTGCTCAATGACTAACCTTGCTAAAATGTTTTCCTCGCTCTCTGTGAAACTGGAAGGTCGACCCGTTGTTACTATACTGTAAATGATATTTAGTCACCCAATGTAGACCATCTGGTCTTCCTTGTGTTGCCACGCGTGTCACGCTGAGTTGCGTGACCAAATCGATCTGAAGCCACTGATTGGCATTTTTCTTTGATGGTTCCCAGACCCCGCCGCTATTTGCGCTTGCTTGTTTGTGAAGTCTGGCGTTAGAAGCAAAATGACGGGAACTCCATATAGTAGAAGCGCTTATTTGTCCGTCAGTTATTGTTCGGCTCTCCATGCCAAGGGCGCCCTGACACTCTAAACGTGAACCGCATTTCAAATTGGTATATGAATGAGTAAGGCTAAATAGTCCATTAAGAGTCATAAATTAATTGTAAGTAATTATCAGTCATCTGCTCGATTGATCTAAGATTCGATTACGTTGCAGCATGAAAAAGATAGCTTACAGAATGTGAGACTGTAGTTGCATTATTGATCAAAACTGTTTTACCCTGCTCACAGATCTGGCCAATAAATCCCGAACAGTCGCAGATGAATCGTTTTCCGGTCTCCTGACAGTTTTCTCGACATGTTCCTCCATTGAGACACGGTTGATCTTTGCAACAACTGTTGGAACACTGAGTGCATCCAGACGATGCAGAAACTGCAGAATTGCTCTGAGACAACAAATCAGTTGATTTGATTTTTTAGCATGGATTGGCAGAATAAGACTCTCTCTGATAATTCGTATACATTATTAGCTTGTCATATACGAACCTGATTTCTTGTATGAATGAGAATTTTTAATGAGAACAAAATCCTGACTGGAAAATTTTTAAAAAATTCTCACATATTTTGAAAAGAAGTTATTCACGCCGGCTAAACATCATTTCTCACCGCTATGTTGTAGCGAACAACCAGATCGTAGTACTGAGAGTCTTCCTTTGCCATCAAGGCACCGGGCTTTAGGTGTCGGTTTTCCTCATTCAGTTGACAGTTATCCCGGTTGGAATATTTCAAAAAGTTGAAGGAGATACAACGGCAGTTTGGTTGGCATGCTCTGTAACAATCCATCACTTTGGTCACTGAGACATTTGCAAACACGTGACCAACTAGGGCGTGCCCATCCACCATGTTCCTTCCAATAATGAAGTAGAATGAGGCGGGACACTTGTCGTCGCTGCAGGAGCCCGTGGTGAATGGAATTATGAATCCAGTGGTTATGAGCAATGGAATTATGCTGTGCCAAAGGCAAGCAGGCCAAATTTCCCTGAGATGTGATACAATTTCATCTAAATTTACTTCAGTGGGTAACATCTTGAATGATAATATTTTAACGTCATCTGTGTTCTATGACTGAACGGACCCACAGAACCATGGAATCTATCCGTTAACCTTTTAACTCCCAAAAGTGATTTCCATGTAACTTCTCCCTACAATATTCATACACCAATCAACAAACAGGTAATGAGATTACTAAAACTTATCAGTTAGAGGTTATTATCATGATATATAACACCGAATTCTTGTCACTAAATTGCAAGGAAATGTGTAACAGCTAGATGGGAGAATTAGTAATTAGATCTTGGGAGTTAAAGGGTTAAGGAGAAAATGTTGATTTGAATATTTCAAAGGACGGCGGTTCTGAAGATTTCAAAGCTGGCTGGGTGTGCTTGATAATCACAGAAAATCGATCTACGGACTCTGAACTTAAACGCGGTTTTTTTTTAAAAAGGAAATAAGTTATATTCAGTTATTTTCACATCAGCTGTCATGTAGGACGTCGAACTAAGAGAACCGCCGAGGCTTTCAGACTGATAAACGTTTCATAATACCATTTATTCAGATTCCTGTTGCCTGTTGCGATGTACTCATTGAACTCAGCTCCTTTTTTTGGGTTCTCTTTGTCTCTGGCCTCAGCCCTCAGGTTAATTTTTCTCTCTAATAAGTTACAAGTCATAAAAAGTCACAAGCTGCAGGAAAATTTAGTGAAAAATCAAGCCAATGGAACAAACGACAGCCAAAGCTTCTCTTAGTTATATTGAAGGGATATCTGTCAGATCTCCTTTTACTCCATTCACTGTAAATTAAAATTACCATATCCTGTTCTACTTACATTTCAAGCTGGTTAGCGTCACAGGATAGCTTTTTCTTTTGGCTCGGTCTCAGTTCAGTTATGAAAAAAAGTTCATAGATTATCAATTTAATTTCATAAAATTGAGACTGTGTCATTTGAAATTTAATCTCAATTTAAAACTATCTGAAAGCACATGCACCTGAACTAAATGAACACGTTTTCGAGGGCGCGATAACAATAAATTTTCGCTAAAAAATTGCTGAACTTGCTACTAAGTTAAAACACCTGCTCCTCTCCGAGCCATCGAGTTTTCTTTACTTTCTCTCTTTATATAAGTTATTATATCCAAGTTGCTTTACTTACAACGGGTGTTTTTCAATCTTAGGGAAAACTGTTCGAAAGATAACATTATTTAAGGCACATATCAAGCCACGTTTTGACTTTTTACTCGAGCATGCTTTCATTTGTTACTCATATCTAAGGTGTTACTCATTTCTGTAAACATACTGCTTTAAGATAACTTTGTTCATTTTTTTATCGAAAAAAAGTGAAGGCCTACCTTTATCTCAAAGTCTTCAAAACTGGTGTTTATTCGCAAAAAACTGTTCAAGTCTTTGGTCTAAATCTTCTTTTACCGCAATAACCATCATGGTCCAAACAAGCTTAATGACTCCACTAAATTCTTCAATCATGTTTATGAAGGCAAGAGACGTGAATAATTTATTGGCCGATGATTGGCATATGCATCTCGTTCATCAATATTTCAAAGTTTTCTAATTTTCCCTTTTTTGAGAAATCTAACTCTTATCAAATTTTTCAATTTTGTTTCATCGTACCAGATTTATAGAGAGGTAACCACTAATAAATGTAACAGATGCTTCGGTGTCTTTATTACACCATTGTGAAGGTGACGGAGGAAATTATCTTTTACCGCAATAACCATCATGGTCCAAACAAGCTTAATGACTCCACTAAATTCTTCAATCATGTTTATGAAGGCAAGAGACGTGAATAATTTATTGGCCGATGATTGGCATATGCATCTCGTTCATCAATATTTCAAGGTTTTCTAATTTTCCCTTTTTTGAGAAATCTAATTCTTGTCAAATTTTTCAATTTTGTTTCATCGTACCAGATTTATAGAGAGGTAACCACTAATAAATGTAACAGATGCTTCGGTGTCTTTATTACACCATTGTGAAGGTGACGGAGGAAATTATTGAAGTAACTTATACATTGCAAATAATTTAATATCATGACAGTGGTCACGCGCCGACAATAATGTGAGGATTAAAAGTAAACTTTGGAGCTTATCGAGTGTCATTGGACATTTCATCACCAAATTCAATTAAAGCATTTTGCGTACTTATCAACAATCACACTTTTTACTGAATTACTGAATTGCTGTTTCATCGTACCAGATTTATAGACGGGTAACCACTGTAAAAGTAACAGACGTCTCGGTGTCTTTATTATACCATTGTGGAGGTGACTGAGGATTACGGTACATGGCCTAATGCAATGCAAGTGCTTAAAATATTACACCATAGTTAATGGAGGGAGAGTCCCCTCTACTAACTATGATTACACTGACAAAAGTAATCGTCATGGTTAAGTAATCAGCCAACTCATCTGAATCCAAGTATCACGTTTAATAACAATGATGAATAGGTAAAATCATCCTTTTAAGGATATCTACCTTTACAAATTAGAATTTGTAAAATTCGATATTTTCTGCCTAACAATAAAGTGAGATAATGAAACGACAACACTTTTTTACACATTTAAGTATGACCGAAGGGCGAATGCAATTCTTTGGAAAACTTGAGAAAAAATGATCACCTGCTGACTACCAGTTAATAATTAAACAGACAATATTTTGACTCTGTTTTCCTCCATTAGGCTTGCGTGCGTAAAACTCCTTTGTTTGCTTCATTCTTTCAACATTTTCGTCATGGCCCCTTTAAAAAGCCCATCACGAGAAATCGGATTAACAACTTTAAGGTTCATGTATCGCGAAAAGCAAGGAATTCACAGTTAACGGGGTTCTTATTTCGTATTTTTACAGGTCATGTCACATTAATTTATTCTTCATCACACCCCATCTGCATTGTTTATCTTTTATGACTATACCTACTATGACCCAAATTACACACAATACACTACTATCCCACCCGCCTTTCCAGTCACCACATGGGAAAAATGGAGAAAACGGTTAACACAGGTTAATTGAATAACTCTTCGCTTAAAGAGCTCATGAGTTTTTTGATTACAACTTTTCAGCTCAGAACTGCTAAGTCTTTGAATGATTTCCCATTTTAATACGATGAAAGGGAGTGAGAAGAGGTCCTCAAATATTTCTCTAAGTCAGTTTTGAATTAGGTTATGTTGTTGTTTGGGCAAGTTAAAGCCTGGTGGTATTGCCCTTCGACGAGAATTATTTTCTTAAACGCAGCAGTTTAGTGTTATTTCTTTTGGCGATGAAACTATTAATGGAAAGTTTTATTTAAGCTAGGTGTTTTACTACAGTACCAGTTATGACGTAACTAAGTAATCTTTACGTAATTTTGGCGAGCGAGTGCTCAGTATTTTCTTAACAATTATTGCCGCCATCTTTGATTTTAATGACCGCAGAAGGCTGGGGAGGGAGATAAATTTGTGTTAACGGGGCTGTCGTCGGTCAAAAATAAGGAGAGGGGCTGGGTGGAGAGGTGAAGATTACCCCCCTACCTCCAACGTCCACTCTAACTCCAAATCAAAGCTTACAAAGTTCGCTCACACTAATTAGACGCCTGCACAGCAGGTAAGATGTGACTGAGGCATGCAGTAAATTTGAACAGCACTCGAGTAGCTTTAGATGCTCTCACTTACGCCTCGAGTAACTTTGGCGCATCTTTCATGCTTTCAAAACTCAAGCTAAGTTGTTTTCGGCCACGCCTCGAGCAATCTTTCATCTTATTTTAAATCTTCTGCTGTGCTTCATATCTCAATGAACAAAACTCGGTTTACTAATGAAACGGCTATGAATTGGTGATACTTATAGTGTTACATCAACAGTATCCACCATGAGAGACATAAGTTTCTTCCCCTCGCTTAGAAATTCACTCTTGTTTTTCTTGAAGCCGTCTTCGTAACTAATGCACCAAGCAATCTTCTATCTTTCATTAAATCTTACAATGTGCTTCGTATATCAATTAACGCAAACTGACGCATGAACCTCGCGTTAACAGTTGAGATCCATTATGAAAGATTGACAGCATACTCAGAAGAGATCATAAAGAGATCTTTATTTTCCGTCCCTGGTTTGGCAATCCTCTCTTGTTGCTTCAGATACCTGTTACGAAACAAAAGCATGATTAAAGATTTGCTACACAGCACTGAGGAAAACGTTTCTATGACATCAAATAACTCACTGTAAAATGTCTCCAAAAATCAGGTCTTAATAACAAAACGTTCTCACTTGAGCACTAACAAATCCGTAAGCTAATTTGCATAAGGCGAGGCTGCTATGTTAGTTTTTCACGAGCTTGTCACGCAATATAAACGAGCATCACTGTTTTCATAAGGAAATTTAGGCAGAATTACACGATATTACGGCCTTTAAAGATTCTAAAATACCTTGGCAACCATACAGCTCCACTCTCATGGCTATCACCAGGTGCCAAGCCAATGGTCGGAAACGAATGTAACGCGCCAGGATTGCTGGAATAAGGTCATGTGACACTACAGTGGTACCATCTGTGTTTCCAGATAATTCCTTTAAACAACATATATACGTTATTGACCAGGTCTGAGGTCAACGTGGCTTGGTATTGGCCGAGCTCCTGTTTTTTTTGGGCATTTTTATGGACTGAGACAAAGTCGAAGTCTATCAAAACGCAAAAAAGAACGACGCGAGTCTTTTCATATTGCCCACGGCTGCTGGTAGTATAATAGCCATCCATTTCAAAGTATTTAAATATATTTTCAAAACCAATTTCATGTAAAGATCATTAAGCACAATGACTAACCGTTATACTTTGTCCTCGTTCTTTGTAGTACTGGAAGGTCGACCCGTCGCTACTGTACAGCAGATTATATTTTGTCACCCAGTGATTAATCCTGTATCTTCCTTGAGTTGCCACGCGAGTCACGCCGTGTTGCGTGACCAAATCAATCTGGAGCCACTGATTTGCGTCTGATGTTGATGGTTCCCAGGCCTCGTTGTGTACATTTTGAACTGCTTTATTGTGGAGTCTGGCGTAAACAGCAGCGTGGTATATACTATACTGTGACGAGGCTCTAATTTGACCGTCAAGGATTGCACGGCTTTCCATACCGAGGGCGCGGTGACAATCTAAACGTTGAACGAGTCGAAATCGTTATTGTCAATATACAGTTGGTATAGAGAACATTAGGTGTAACCATGCAATTGTGTGTGAGGCTTTAGCTGAAGTAATGGCGGGGTAAAATACATTGTCTTTAGATACATTTAAGAGAACATCGACTTTCCTACTTACAAAATAATACGATACTGATGACATAGAGAAAATTCTGTTAAGAATCATAACATTTAATAACTTTATTGAAGAACCTAAAGTTTCGAAAAGATACCATGATGTTCTTTTGATTCGACTAGTAAGGCTTGTTAAAACAAAAGTCTATTACCATGACAACCATACAGCTCCACTCTCATGGCTATCTGCCAGTGCCAAGCCAATGGTCGGAAACGAATGTAACGCGCCATGATTGGTGGAATCAGGTCATGTGACACCACAGATGTACTGTCGCTGTTTCCTGAAAATTCCTTAAAGAATATAGAGATGCCATGAAATATTTGTTGCTTTAGTGACAATAGCTGGTCTCCCTTGTTGACCCTAGACATGTTTGAGGCTTTCGTTTCGTTTTATCTTTTGATCGAAACTGTCCTGATGAAACATGTGTCGAAATATTTTGGTGTCTGTATTGGAGTTTTAATAGCTTAGTCATACTTTAACCAAAGTAGACACTTAAGCTAACACAAATTAATCATAATCTCAAACAGTATTTTTTTGCAGATACTGGAGGCAATGATTGGCTGAACCAAAATTTTCGCACTAACCTACCACATAACCCATAAAAAATAAACTGCAAGTCCAAATACCTGCGCAATGACTAACCTTGCTTACGTGTTTTCCTCGCTCTCTATGAAACTGGAAGGTCGACCCGTTGTTACTATACTGTAAATGATAGTTAGTTACCCAATGCAAACGATCATGTCTTCCCTGTGTTGCCACCCGTGTCACGCTGAATTGCGTGACCAAATCGATCTGAAGCCACTGATTGGTGTTTTTTATTGATGCTTCCCAGACCCCGTCGCTGTTTGTGCTTGCTTGATTGTGAAGTCTGGCGTTAGAAGCAACATGACGGGAACTATATCTGGTAGAGGCGCTTATTTGTCCGTCAGTTATTGCACGGCTCTCCATGCCAAGGGCGCCCTGACACTCTAAATGTGAACCGCATTTCAAGTTGGTATATGAATGAGTAAGGTTAAATAGTCCGTTAAGAGTCATAATTTAATTATACGTAACTATCAGTCCTCTGCTCGTCTATCAGGGAGATTCCAGAAAGGAAGGGAACCTTTCAATTGATTTAAAACTCGATTAAGTTGCAGCATGGAAACGATAGCTCACAGAATGTGAGACTGTAGTTGCATTATTGATCAAAACTGTTTTACCCTGCTCACAGATCTGGCCAATAAATCCCGAACAGTCGCAGATGAATCGTTTTCCGGTCTCCTGACAGTTTTCTCGACATGTTCCTCCATTGAGACACGGTTGATCTTTGCAACAACTGTTGGAACACTGAGTGCATCCAGACGATGCTGAAACTGCAGAATTGCTCTGAGACAACAAATCAGTTGATATGATTTTTTAGCATGGATTGGCAGAATAAGACTTTCTCTGATAATTCATATACAGTATAAGCTTATCTTATCCGAGCCTGATTTATGGTATGACTGAGAATTTTAATAAGGAAAAAATCCTGACTGGATACTTTTGAAAATATTCTCATATTTTGAAAAGTTATTCATGCCGGCTAAACATCATTTCTCACCGCAATGTTGTAGCGAACGACCAGATCGTAGTACTGAGAGTCTTCCTTTGCCATCAAGGCACCGGGCTTTAAATGTCGGTTTTCCTCATTCAGTTGACAGTTATCTTGGTTGGAATATTTCAGGAAGTTGAAGGAGATACAACGGCAGTTTGGTTGGCATGCTCTGTAGCAATCTATCACTTTGGTCACTGAGACATTGGCAAACACGTGACCAACTAGGGCGTGGCCATCCACCATGTTCTCTCCGATGACGTGGTGGAATGTTGCGAAACAGTTGCCGCTAATGCAAGAGCCCGCGATGAATGGAGTAATGAATCCAGCGGTTATGAAGAGTGAGATGAAGGGACGAAACAAAACTTGGAAACTTCCCCTAATGAATTAAAGTTTCATGAAAAGTGAAGGGTTTTGTTTCATAATGATCATCACCATGCATGGATCGGCCTTTACAAGCTGTCATATGACTTCTTATCTGACTCTGCATCTATCTCCTGCGACTAAATTTTTCATAACGGAAAGTTTGGCATGCCGCAAAATTCTAGCACAAAAATGTTTCTTTTAAATCGCCATATCAGTTATCATATTCGACATTAGCACGAAGCGTCATACTGAATTATGTAATCTGTAATTTTTTTAAGCTATGGGAAAAAAAAACCTTTAAATGTCTTACAAACGACCAGAAAGGATCCTCCTTAGAATAGTTAAAAAAAAAAAGAAGTTTTGGTTGTCGTTCATATCCCCACGGGATCCGGCACGGCACTGGAATCGACCAGCTGGTCGATTCCTACGGTCTCTCGCCTAGTAATATCTTGAGAGATCCTAGGCGGGAGACTCGAAAGATCCTAGCGCGGCACCGGAAGGATTCTGGTGAGATCTCGGTGTGGTGTACAACCGGGATACCAATAACCCTGTCTTAGGCGATGGACGCTTTACATGGGGTCAATTTTCACTATTCCTCATGAGAGATGGCTTAGAGTTCGACTCCGTAGGAATTGATGAAATAAATTAACGAGTTCTATTAATCAAGCTCTTTGTATTATACTTACATCGCCAAGTAATTGTTTTTGTCAAAGAGGTTAAAATTGTTTTTCTTCCTTTGAGAACAATTTTCTTCATCTACCCGGACTTCACAGCTGGTTCCTTGGTTTTCTTCCCAAAACGCAAAGAGAAATTAAGTTCTAGCATGACATTAACATATAGATGGGATTCACTAAGAATATCAATAAATTGCCAAGAGTTGAAAAATTAACTGACAAAAATTTGGTGAGAGCTGATCCTGGCATCTTCTCAAGGCATAATCTTTAAGTCCATAAACTCAATCGAGAAGCAGATGCAGTCTTAAAAATAGCACACATATTAGTACTATACCAATGCCAAAGAGCTCTCCAGGTCCCAGTTGTTTAAAGGGAAGATAACGCTATTCAACGGATAAAAAAACAAAAACACAAACCGGACTAAGTACATTCGACTGACAACAACTATTCACTTGACTCTGATGATGACTTCCGCTCAGGTTGTCGAAACGTCAGTCACCACTACCGACAACAGTCCTTCTCAGGACTACACTCACCCGGACGATCAAACTACACTATTACAGGATAAATCGCCATCCAGCGGATAGACGTAAGCAAAGTGTGTCATCATGCATTGGAAAGAGATTTATCCAGTGGATAGTGTTATCTATCCTTCGAACAACCAGGTCTAGGGCGAGAATTTGAGGCCAACGTGTTTTAAAAAAACTCACCCCAAATGGTCTAAGATGATGGTTACGTAATCAACCCACTCGTCTGATTCTTTTGATGTATGAACACTGAAAAATCGGGAAATGTTAACGAACATCATTTAAAAGGATAAAATAAAACTTATAGAATTCGGTGCAATCATGTATCGGATAACCTAAGTAACTCGGAGTCCTAAATGAATTAACTTAGTAACTTAGCCTCTAAAAAGTCGCAAAACCCCTCGAATACTACTTTGAATCGCTAAAGCAATATGAGTTTGTAAACACGGATCAATCACCCCTAATATTTTTACTTGGCCTGTAAAGAAAGCACGGCAATGACTTTCAAATCATTAAAATGAAAAACAAGAAAGGGCTGGTACCTTACGCCGAGAAATGTCTCCTTTTTAAGAGCGACTACCTAAGACTGGTCAAGACTGGTCCAACCCTGTTTTTTTTTTGTTTCTTTCTTTATCGAGCGGTGTACTCGGTTATTTAAAAAATTCCTTTAATAAATAATTGATAACCTTTAATTAGGGGTAACAATTAGGGGAAACGAATGATATCTTGAATTAAAATCGCGAGGCTCGTTAAAAATTTTCACCCAATCTCGATTGAACTCTCGTCAACGATGGCGACGAGTCTTAGAGTTCGGCATTTTTTGAAAATTCTCCAAGTTTAGAACTTGCTCTTGTACCTAAAGGCCTGGGGAGAGAAAGAGTAGCTCGGCATTATCATTGTCAGCGACGAAAGTAATTGTAGGATCGTTGTCTTAGGAAAATATTATTATGCAATAGTTAATATATCGCAAAAGAGAACGCAAAAGAGGCCGTGGTAACTGTAACGCGATAATTTGTTGTAATCAGGAGTAATGGGCTCCTGCTGTAATAAATTACAGGTACCTAACTGTCATATCTAGGAAGAACAACAGTTATGATATTGAATTGCAGTGTTCCAAACAAGGGTGTCAGCATTTCGGGAGTCTCGGATTATACCATTTGCCATCCCCATGATTAAGAACTGAAACTTTTATGCTAATTAATCTTATGTTTAATTTTTTATGAGGTTATATCTTCGTTTGGCAGGTACTGAACACGATTAACAGTAGCCCCTTTTTAGATGTAGACCTTCATGTTCATTGCGCTCTAACAACGGACGCTATTTCACTCAAACTTTCTGCTGGCGATCAAACTTTAGCGTAATGCAGAAAGTACTAAAATACAGAGCGACTCATGAAGTTGGTGGGCATTTTTGGGTTGCTGATTTTTAAGTATTTACCGCTCAGTAACCGACAAAGAAAACGTCCTGAAAATGAGACATAGTTTGAAGCTACACTGGTTTGCAGATTTAATGAATGTAACCAAAGAAGTTACAATTCATAGACCCAACGTTTCGACACTCCTGTCTAGTGCCTTCAAAATGGCCTGTCTAGTCCTGAAAATGGTTCTTGTTTTTTTGTTGGAAACCTGAAGTACTACCCCTGCCTTAGTACCCACCTCGTCAGCTCCACGCATTCGTCTCGAGTTGGAAGATATTTTTATTCAGACTTACCCAGGCAGCCTTTCGATATTATAATTATAGTATACTGAAACATTTGAAAAAACGTAACTAAGCAGTGCGTGGCCGTGCACCATGTTCCTTCCGATGACGAAATGGAATGTGGCAGAAAAGGAGGTTGTACAGAAATTGTTTCTTTACAGCTTGGGAAAAATTGCTACCTTTTCTAATTTTGCCTTTGTATGTCCTTCTTAGCTGATTCCTTGGTCTTCCTTCCAAAAACAACAAGAATGATGAAGTCTTACACGACATGAACATTATATAATAGAGAGGTCTGGATGGAATTAACTTAGTATTGACAAATTGCCAAAGGTTGAAAAAAATTGCCTAAAATTGAAGTAACCTGAGTCGACTTTGGTCAAAGCCATAGCTCAACCCAAGGGCTCAAAAGGTATATTTTCAGTCCTTGAACCCAATTCGAGAGCTAAATACAGCCATGGTATTTTTCTTCAAACCTGAGAAAAGGAGAATCGTAATATATATGTATATATATATATATATATATATGTCAGTGTACTAAACACATAATCGCGAAGGATTTTTCGATGCACAAAGAAACTTAAAAAAATCACTATGATCGAGAAACACTAGCCAATGTTATTTGAGAGTATCAAAAAATACTGGGAGAATACTGTGAGTCCTTAATGAGCGAGATTCTCTTAATGAGTTTTCTGAAAATTCATGCAACTCTCCAAACGGTTCTTTAAATCAACTTGAGAAGTAATAAATGAAAAAACAGTGATATTCTTCATCCTTGCCTCATCAACTTATTAAGAATTGCTATTAAGAAATTGCTATCATAGCAATTGAATGATTAAAAAAAAATTGGAAAGCAAGACATGAAGGTAGTGGTACCTCGCGCCGAAAGAAGTATTTGTTTGAGAAAGAGTATTCCACACAGAAAGTTAAGAGTGCCTTGTCCTCGCTCATCTTTGTTTGTTTATTTCCAAGTAGCCTAGTCGTGTATTTAAGACATATTCCAGGTAAATGATTGATAAGAGGCTGATGAATGGTCTGTTGAAAAATGAGAGATGATTTTGCCAAAATTGTTTAATCGCGGTATCGAATTTTTAAACAAGGACTGCGACGTTTCCAATCTCTTTAGTTGCGAACTGAAAATTATAATCCAATAGGTCATCACTTCTCACTCTGAGCATTTCGTTTAGTAACAGGTACCGAAAATACACCCTTAAGAATACCCTGAGCTGAGTCGCAGACCGTCCAACCCTGAAACAGACTTTACTTTACACCGAAATCTCCTTCAAGTACCAAATCCCGGCGTATTTTTGATCAAGCTGGCGCGGCGATCCAATATTATTTCAGTGTATTGTAGAACAAAAAGAACTAAAGCAGGGAGTGACTCATCAAATTGTTTCAAATCCTTATTTGGCTTACTTAGTTTTACGTATTCAGCTCAAAAGCAGATGGATCAAGAATTATACCTCCAGTCACAGAGTCGTACCTCTGCCCCACCCCCTACTTCGCCTGCTTTGCGCATCGCACTTACCCTTGAATGACCTTCAAGTGACTGACACGGTCATAGACCTGGGCCGAGGAGGTTGAATCAGCAAGGCACCGTTTTCACAAGTTCGATCAGCTGTGGTGATCTTTCCTTTTTATAATATTTTCCTACATTTCTACAATGCCGGGCAGGAAAGTCTATGTCGTTGGAGTAGGGATGACTAAGGTTAGTAAAGGGATATAGTTCCGCGCTGAAATTTTCCCAAAATATGAACATTTCTTACATAACTAATTTTGAAGTCTTGCTCAACTTGCTGCTACGTATGTTGCCTTCACTGTTTGTGTGCAAAGTTTTTCTCGCCTGGTCCAATATTTATTTAGAAGTTTTTGAAAAAAGGCATAGGTGTGCTGTAATAAACTTTTTGTTTTTCCATCTTGATGAAACATCGTGGATTAAGCCTAAACTTGTGGAAACTTGATGTTTATCAAAACGTCAAAGTTGTTGTTCCTGCATGTTTAAAGAAGTTATTTACAAAATGAGGGTTTGTAATAGAGTTCTTGATTAACCCTTTCCACCATAACATCAGTATTTATATTCTCCATATTGTTCACCTTACATTATCTAAAGTGATGATAAGGAGAATTCTTAAACCATCAAGAGCTTCTTTACGCCTGAGTTTACTACCTGATAATGTGTTTTATCTTCAGTTGTAACCATGATCTTTAATTGAGGGGTGATATTGTAAGGAGAAATTAGATGTTGGTCACTCTAAGGGGTCAGGGGGTTAAGTAAATTGTGAAGAAAAAAGTTTTAATTTTGGTATGGAAGAGATTAACCAGGGGTGAAAATGATAAACTAAGATGATTTGATTACAGGTATGTTGTAAAAAATAAAAAATAAATAAATAAAAAAATATATAAACTGTACCTTTTAACTTAGTTATCTCTGACATATTTTCACTTATTTGGGGCAGTGCATTTAAATCATAATTTTTACTTTTTCCACTAGTTCGAAAAACCTGGTCGTCGAGAAGATTTTGACTACCCTGATATGGCCAGGGAAGCAGGTTTGTTGGAGCTACTCAAACTGCAATCATTGAAAGTTTTGAATGTGTTGCCCTATTGATTGATGGAGGGTCATATGATAGGGATGAGTAGTTCTTTGGTTTTCCTTTTTCCCCCCTTAACTATTGCAAAAATTCTGTGCATTTTGGCGGTTTCAATAAGCATATTGAGCATTTTTGAAAAGCTCATTGGTTATTCACTTGGGTGGCATACCTTATAGGTAGAAGGTATATTTTTACAATTTATCCACTGGTGGCATTTTGTTGATAGCCTATTGGTAATCTGATGTCTTGTTTGAAATGGTTTATTTTTGTGTTTCCAGGAACAAAAGCCCTTAAAGATGCAGGCCTGGATTATGGCAAAATAGACCAAGCTGTAGTAGGTTACTGTTATGGTGAGTTTCTCTCCTTCTCATTAAAAGGGTTCACCAAGAATTCCATGATTGTGTATTTTTTCACAATACACTGTAAGGAAAAATATTTCTCATTCCAGTGCACACATACATGTAATACAGTAACTAATTACTTTCCTAAACCATAGTTAATCGAGGGGACAATGTCGCAGAATTCAGCTGGTATGTCTTGTAGACCGTTGTTGTGGGTGTAGCATCTTAGCTCGTCTCTGGTTGTTTTTGGATAAATTTTGTTGTCAGCAATTTTGTGTTTAGCTTTTTCTACAATTCTTGAGTAAGCTACAAAAGTTAAATAGTTTTCTTGTCCTCCTTCTTTCTGCTTCTCAACATCTTCTCTCGTATCTCTGTGTTTAACTGTCTTGTGTTGTTTCAGTCCGCTCTTGCTTTTGCATTTCTTGTGGCACAGTTCCCACACTATGTCTTCTAGTTGAACCTGTTGTAAGCAAAAGTAACTTTCAGTCAAGAAATCAGTCATAAAACGATACTACAAAGTCTAGTTCTAAGCATAGATAATGAAAATAAGAAAATGTTTAATAATTACATCGTCAGTAAAGTACGCCACATAGTTATAAGAATTTAGTTATAACACAAGTCGCTACAAAAAAGCAGCATCGATGATACCCGATGACAGTCCATCGAGCTAAAAGACGATGAATGTCAAAGCACGGCGCTTTTCGCTAAATTTTGGGTCGCTAAGAAAGAATATAATACTTACTTCATCGGCAGCTTCTCTAAACTGTTCATCGAGCTCTTCTTCTTCCAAAATACCTAGAATAGCGTCAAAATCATCTCCAAAGAAAAACAAATTGTTCATGTCCGCCATATTGTCTTGGAATGAACGCTTGCCGTGTGCACGGTCCATGTCACGTGATGGTGCAATTCAACCTCAAACGCAAAACAAAAGGCCGGCCCTTTGATGTGTGCTGGCTTTCACAACCAGTCCCCTCAATTAACTATGCCTAAACCTCTATCTAGTTTAATAAATTTTCCATTAGTAACTTTAAATATTTTGGCATCTTTCTTTCAGTTGTTTTATTTCAAATTGACCTTTAAAATAAATTATTGCAAGTGAATGATTTTTCATAATTGTTTAGGACTTCATTTTTAAATTTTAGGTGATTCAACCTGCGGACAAAGAGCACTCTATCAACTTGGTCTCACAGGAATTCCAATTTACAATGTTAGTCATTTCAGCCATAGGATATTTTATTTCTATTTGACTACTAACTAATAACTTTGACATAAGTAGAAGTTGGTAGAATTGGTAATGTTTAATAATATTTGGAATCATGTTTCATTTATACAGACCCTGGGAATTGTTTTCACAGTTCCACAACAATGCAAAAATTATTTTTGGAAAATTCTGCCCCATAGTGAAAAAGTTGATATTCAACATGAGTACTTAATGCTATAAAAAATGAACAAACAAATAAAAAGATTAAGTAATGAATTTAAAGTTGCATCTGGAAACTTTTTTGTAGGTAAATAATGCATGTGCTACAGGTTCCAGTGCATTGTATTTGGCCAAGCAGCTTGTTGAAGGAGGTACAGTTCAAATTTGTAAATAAATATGTTATAGCTGTGTACATAAAATATAAATTGGAATTAATTGCATACTATGTAACCTAACAGCTCTTGTATAGTATGAACCCTTTCCAAGAACGTACAATCCTTCATGAACCATGTTTGTCTGGCAAAGCCCAACCAAACCAAAGCTGACCTTCATTTGTTTGATCATTTATCTTGTATATGATTTTAAGCCCAGGGAGGAGGGGGGTGGGGTGGGGGGGGGGTGAGACACTTCCTAATAATAGGCTTGTGGGGATATGCCACTGGGTGGCATTTTCATGCCAGGATTGACTATAATAAGGTTGCATTTCCAATTTTTGAGATTTTGGTAGTAAGAAAATTCTGGTAAATAGGGATTTTAGTAATGGGAAGATTTGCAGTTAAATAGATGTTACTATATTAAGGAAAGTGACCAAGATGGGGTATATAATTAGCCATAGAATAGACTTAAAATGGTGTGGGGTTTTTTTGAAAGGCTAGCAGCATATACATAGGAAAAATTTACCCAGGTACCTCCCTTCCAGATTTCATGCGTCTTGGCCACAGCTGTACCCACTCATTTCACATACAGCCCTGTGAGTGATACCCACTCAACCAATAACACACAGGCCTCATGCTGTATGATGTATGTATAAATGGTTAGGTGAACCCTAATTGTGCCATTCAAACCATTACAGGTTCATCAGACTGTGTTTTAGCTTTAGGATTTGAGAAAATGCAGAAAGGATCTCTTGGAGCAAATGTAAGTACATTGCATACTAATTTTGTGTAAAGTTTCAAAGTAAATCTTTCTGTTTCATTGTACTTAGAACAATGAGGTTGGCATCTGCTGAGGATCTATTTTCCTAGAACATTTTTCCTTTTACCTCAAATTGATGGCCCCTGTAATATAGTAGTTGTGGTTTCCCTTTTGAAGTTGAACCCACACAGCTTTATGTGTTGTTTTCTCCTTTGTCCAATGGCCTGATCTAGCATATTTGAATCACAATATATAGTTTGAGAGTACACAAAAGGTTACAAAATGGAATGACTGCTTGCTTCCTTAGAACATATACTTGTGAAATGCATTTTTATAACCTCATATAGCTAGAAATGTGCTGAGAAAATAAGAAGCCTTCTTTCAACCCTTTTTGAAATCGACATGTATTGCACTTGACACACTTTCTTGTAATGTACTTGGTAGTTCAAAGATCGCACTCCACCAATGGATAAACATTTGGAAGTTGTGATCAATAAACATGGCCTGGCTGCTGCTCCTATAACTCCTCAGTTGTTTGGAAATGCGGGCAAAGAACATATGGAAAAATATGGTGAGTTTTTGTAATGATTGATTTATAACAGGTCTTTACTATCTGAAAAGAATTCTCTGCCTCTAGAGCTACATTTACTTATTTGACCCTTCACACCCTAACATCAGTATCCATATTCTCCTTACTATTCTCTGTCAATATACAATTCTACTATCAGGAGATTCTTCATTAAGTGATCAGTTCCTTTATTCTCATGACCTTAATGTTGGATTAAGCAGTGATACTATAAGAAGAAATTAGATGTCAATCACTCTTAGGGGTTTAAGGCTTAAAACTATTTATTTAAACAATTCTGTCTCAACAGAGACAATGTACAGTACTTATTAAAATTGAAATGCAGTGCAAGCCTTTGACGAGAAAAAATCCAAGTTAAAATACATTTTGGAAGCCTCTTTAGGAGCCAGTGTTGATTAAGAGCCTGTGATAGTTGGTGAAAGATTTTTCAACTTCAAACAGGAACCACAATGGACCATTTTGCCAAAATTGCTTACAAGAACCATCTTCACTCTGTTGATAATCCGTGAGTAAATCATGCTTTGTGTCATCTTATACTGCAAATTTTGTGTGTTGGATAAATTTTGTTTGTTACCCATGGAAATCAGAGTAACACCATAATACTGTCTAGTCAGGGTATGAAACTTTGTCAAGGTGAAGTCTGTACTTAAGCCAAGTAGCTCATCAGGCCAGAGCTTATGCCAATTTCCATAGCTGGAAGTGACTAGGAATAATACCACTACTCCCCTGGATGGGATGTCAGTCCATTGCAAGATTACCCCCAGCATTTCATCAAACTTCCCTGACTATTTGTCAGTACCCATTTATACTTCTGGGTGGAGAGGTACTGTGAAAGTAAACTATTTTGCCCAAGAACACAACAGAATGACCAACCCAGAATCAAGCGCACAAATCATTAGGCCACTACATCTCCCACTGGAAACATTTGATTGCCGCATATCAATAATGAGGTATAGTTATAAACAATAACATTTCTCTGTCTTTCATATTTTAGCTTATCTCAGTTCAGGAAAAAGTACACTTTGGAAGAGATTAAGAACTCTCCCATGGTGTTTGACCCTTTGACAAAACTTCAGTGCTGGTAAGCCACATTCTGTAATTGTTGTTAGTAACCTGTCAATGCTTGTATTGCTAAAGTCAAATGGCCTGGGCTATTTCATAAATTCAGACTTGGCATCAGGAAATCTATTTGTTTTATGTTGTTTTTAACCCTTTACACCCTAGCATCACTATGCATATTCTCCATACTGTTCTCTTTACATTTCCTAGGTTCTAACAGGAAGAATTTGTAGAACCATCAAGAGCTTCATTAGAAGCTGATCATTTCCTTTATTCTCATGACGTAAACCTTTAATTCAGGGGTGATATTGTAAGGAGAAATTAGAACCTTGTCACTCTTAGGAATTAAAGGGTTAATGGGGACATTATCTATGGATCTGTCTTAAGTATGAAATAATCAAAACACTTATCATGTCAAAAAAAAATGTACTAGACTTAAAACAGAAGTGATTTCAATCTGTTAATGTTGGAGTGCCACAGTTTACCAAGAATGATAAACATGTTTATTTTCAATTGGTGAATCAATCCTCTTTGAGGATCATCAAATTGTAAAGAAGAAAGCAGTGAACAAGCTGTGGATCTGATTCTACATGTAACAATATTGCACTGATTGATCTGTACATTAACTTTTAGTCCTACATCAGATGGCAGTGCAGCAGCCATCTTGGCCAGTGAAGAGTTTGTCAAGAAACATGGGCTTGAGAGTAAAGCTGTTGAGATTCTTGGAATGGAAATGGCAACAGATCTTGTGAGCACTTTCCAGGAAAACAGTTCAATTAAAGTGGTAATTGGGAAATTTATTTTCATCATATACTACATTAAAGAATAGAAAACTTGATGATGAGCTCTTAGAATTTTTTAGTCTAATAACTTTAAGTTGTTGAAATAGTAGAAGAAAGAACTAAGACACCAACAATCTTTGTCTTGTAATTGTACCCTTATTTTCTGACCGATGTGGCTGTAGGTCTTAACTTTTTCAGTATTACTTTCAGTAACACCTTTAGTAAAAAAATGAGATGCATTTAAAATCAGTGTTCAGCCCTTAAAAACCCAAGATCTGATTGTTAATATTCCCGTCTAGATGCCACTTATTTCCTTGTAAATTAGTTTTGAGAATTTGGTGTTAGATCAAGATAGCAACTTTTGCTTTGGGAGAAGTTAAATGTTAATCACCTCTGGGAGCTGAGGTGTTAATATGCAAGGAAAGAGAAAGTCAGAATTAAGGACACTACTTTATGTGTTGCACTAAATTGTAAGCAGAATAACCAGCCAAAGGTTTATCAATTGCTATTTGTTAAGGAGAATTGATGTTTTGATTGTTTGAACCAATAATTACTTCTGCATATTTTCTTGCAGGTTGGTTATGATATGACTAAGGTTGCTGCCAAGAAATTGTTTCAGAAGACAGGTATGTGGTACATATACTGTCCACTATTGGCATTTTACACTTTTTTTCATTCGAAAGGTTATCTGAAATGCTATTCAGAGATCTCTCACGTATAGGAGGAGGATTTTGGGGGCTTATTTTCCAGAGCAATTTTATCAACTCTCTTTGTCTGTTTTTGTTATTTGTGAAGGCATGTCGCCTAATGATGTCCAAGTTGTAGAGCTTCATGATTGCTTCTCCACCAATGAGCTCCTCACCTATGAAGGACTTGGCCTCTGCTCTGAAGGTATGATGGGTTACAGTCTCAGTATTTGCTATCTGGTACTTGCATAGAAAAGTTAAATTCTGACACAGACCGTGGAACATAGTAATATGATATTACAATTAGAGTGAAAGAACCAATTTCAATTCATAAAGTAAATGTTGTAAATCAACATTGATATCTAAAGACCTAGTGTGATTGTGATTGTGAATGTACTACAATGTTTTATTAAGAACAGAGGGAAGGTGGCAGTGGGATGAAAAATCTGCAATTGATTTTTTCCTTTTCTTAGGCAAAGGAGGGGAATTAGTAGACAGAGGAGATAACACTTATGGAGGCAAATGGGTTGTAAATCCAAGTGGAGGACTCATTTCTAAAGGTCACCCTCTGGGGGCTACAGGTAATCTTCTGAGATACAAGTAAATGTTACACAAGGCTTGAGTTTTGCAAATTTCACCAGATATCTGTTGTTGTTGTTGTTGTAGGTTTAGCACAGTGTACAGAGCTTTGCAAACAGCTGCGGGGTGAGTGTGGTAAGAGGCAAGTACCTGGAGCCAAGGTGGCTCTTCAGCATAACCTTGGATTGGGAGGTGCTGTAGTGGTGGCTCTGTATCAACTTGGATTTCCTAATCAAAGGAGGTGAGAGTTCAATATAAATTGAAATTTTTACTTGTGACTGGAAACCACAGAACTAATAAAGATTGTTTTCTTAAAAACAAGGTATCACCCAGTACCTTCTTATACCTCAGCAGTCAAGGAAGAAGATTTCAAGGCAGCTGCAATATTTGAAGAGATGGAAAAGAAGCTGAAGGGGGTATGTGGAAGTCAACTTTTAGGAATATAGTGGGGTACACTAGGGTATTGAATCCTCGGACAAGACTAGATAATTTTAACAGCAATTTTTAATCGTCTTTTTAATTCACTCAGGAAGGCCCTCTACTTGTAAAGAAAATTAAAGGAGTTTACAGATTCAACATCAAAAATTCTGATGGAAAAGAAACCTGGTGGATTGTTGATGCTAAGAATGGAGATGGGGCTTTGAAATATAGAGGCTCAGGTACACTCTTCAGGATTCTTAATTTGTAATTTTAACGTAGTCCTTGAGTGCTGTAAAGTTAAACTTCACTAAAGTGGACATGGTTTTGGAAAACTTGGCATACCTTAACAGCCTGAGAGCTGTAGAGGAACGAAGTGTCTCATTCAGGAAATAGGTACTTCAAAGTCACTTGCCACGCTCCTCATTAGAAACTGTCAATAAAGCCTTTTTGCCGCTTTTGGTCATGATGCACTAGATCGCACATTGCCTTTTAAGGATCTGGTATCAACGAGTAGTAAATGTGGGAGTAGCCAATCAGATTGCTCGCTCGCTCTGACGAAGGGCTACCTCTCGAAACGTCAGCTTTAGAAACTCTTTTCGGTGGTCAATTTACATTATCAACTCAGTTGATAAACCCAATTATCTCGTTATACCCCCTCCGACACAGCAGCACAGTTTTTTTTAGGAACTTATCTTCTTTAATCAGATTGGTTGTTTGACACTCCTTTTTTAACACTTTCACAGATAAAGCTGACTGTACAATAACTATGAATGACGAAGACTTCGTTAAGATAATGACTGGTAAAATGAATCCACAATCGGTAAGTTGAAATTTATCAACATTTTGCTTTAAACATACAATAAGAGCAACGAATGATGGTCTTGCGCATCAGTTCAAAATGAACCAGACGAGTTCCCGAACCTTTAAACTAAACAGCTTCCCTGTTTGCTATTCAGGCTTTTTTTCAAGGCAAGATCAAGATCAAGGGAAATATGGGCCTGGCTATGAAACTAAGAGAAATTCAACCAAAGCCTGCCAAGTCTAAGCTGTAGATCCACATGCGAACAAGATGAGATTGTTTAAGTAGCAACAAATTTTTAAGGTGTCCTTTTTAAATGAGGTGAAATCTTTGTGAGACCTTCAACCCACCACGTGAAAACATCACTTAATCATCTGAAACATCCAAATTATCATAACAGTATTTGATCAAAGTTGAAAAACTGTAATCAATAAATGACACAAAGTGTCACCCCTCAAGGCTCGGTAAAAGGCCTGGGCCAGAGTGACCCGGTACATGTACGACACATAACCTGAGCTATTACTAATGAACTATGGATTGGCGAGGAGTGTCTTCAGTAAGAAATACTAAAACGAACAAACACTTCTTCTATGACATGACTCCTACTTGTCTTTAATGTGCGTCGTGAAATAATAAATATAGTGCTTACTACTTTTTTTTGTTTAGTTTTTACAACTTGTGAACAACTCATTACAAGTATGATGGGAAATGTTCAGTTTTCTTTTGGTATGTCTATATTATGCTATAAACATGGTGAGCAGCCGGTTTTGTTACGTTCTTTTTTCTGTTCATATCATACTATAAACATGGTGTTAAGTCAACAATGTTCTTTTTCTTTTGTTCATATTATGCTATGAACAGCACAATTTGCCAAATACAACTTGGATGGGCGGAGCTGGTGCTTTTCCTCCGTTAACAAAAACCTGTGGGCAAACTGTGTTAATGTAAGGAAATCCCTTCATGAAAGTTCTCAGTCTAAATCTTTGAGTAGGGTGGCGGCTGTGGATAGCAATCAGGGATGCAATCCTTTTTTCTAAAAGACATGACAAGGAGCACACACGCCAACATACTTATCACGAATAAAATTCCCGCCAATATCACCAGGTAATTTAGCGGCAAGATCAGATGGCAGTTGTCAAAGACGGTATTCTGACAGTTCTCTCCAGTACATTCCTGTTCACAGTGTTGAGCGTCACACGTAAATGAGCATGCTCCTGATAAACACCGCTGTCTACAGAAACTAACATCACTGGTACACTTCATGTGACAATTGTGACACTTCTGATAGCATGTCTCAGATGAGCACGTGATTGCTCTGCATTTAGAACCTGCGGAGGCTTGGTAACATTCATTGTAGCCTTGGTTACTGTCTGTTACGCCACAGTCACATGATTGGTTGTGGCAATGTTGAATACAAGTGCCTGAGATTACCATCTGGCATCTATCAGTCGCCATTGCTTCTTTCGCCGCAAAAATTGTAACCACGATCAAAATATGACAGAACATCTTGAAGACTGTAAAGGGAAAAAAAGTGTACGCATTAACTTACAATGTTGAGACAATTGAAACCGTGATGATTGCGCATTTGAAAGGGTTTAATCAGCACGATTATCACTGAACTAATTAAGTTCCGCGTTCCGTGTTGTCGTGGGGGAAATCAGACAAGGGACAAGAGTTGATGAAAATTTGAAGTATTTCCTGGCCTAAAGGGTTCAGTCAGAGTAAAAAAAAAAAAAAACACCCTGGGGCGAACGCAACATCCAAGTTCAAGTTTTATCCAGCCTTAGCGCGGAAACCAAAGCTCTGAGGTTGGATTCGTTATGTTTGTTTGAGCGGCGCTCGTTACAAGAGAGAAAGACATCTTTTTGTAATTCTGATTTTATTACAAGACATTGCCTCGCATCCTAAGTTTTTAAATCTTTGCCATAAATCACTTTGTTACTTACAAGTTTCGGCTTGAATTTTGAAAACAGTTTGTTTGTCACGTGCGGTGAACAGAAGTGTTTGACACTTAGAAAGTTCTCGGCGTTTTGCCATGTTGTACCGTGTCCAAAAGAAATAAGCGGTGTCTTGTCTGGTTGGTACAAACATTATGGATTTTTATGCTTCTTTTGCTTAATCATCGTCCGACGAATTAGAGATAAACGCGGACAAAAGATCATAAAATGGCCAACGGCATTAAGTGTGTGTCCTCATGAACATTTTAATTTAAGAACCGAGATGTTGATTGGGATTATTTTAAATGATATACTACACCGAGGAAAGATTGCCATCCAAAGGTTGACTTGAATTACCACTTTCGATAGAATTTTGCGTTTTTCTGAACCCACAACAAATTGCAAGGGTTTTAAGCTCCAAGGCTATTTTTAAAAACTTATTCAAGAACGATTTTGAATACCAACCTCTTAAAAGAGTGTGATTGAACATCTGCAGAATAATTCCGAATGAAATTTCCACACGGCGTCCGAGCGTGTCAGTGCTTGAAGTTTGTCAGGCAGTTTGTTTGTGATTGTGGAATTGTGCGTCGCAAAGTTTTTAGATTTAGTAGGCGGGGAAAGAAAATGAAAGTGCTTAATCAAGCATATCGGAGGGAAAACCCCTTTACGACGTCAGCAACTCATTGTTTGATAGTCTTTGAGACGGAAAACGTTTTCCAAGAAAACAGGAAAGCTGTAAAACGACGAGTAATACGACATAAGTGTGATTAACTTCATATCACGTCCTAAAGAAATTTCGAAAATATATTTTTCTCTATAATTTGGAATTTTATTTTTACTTCTATTTATGGTTCCTTAGTCATTAACTGACAAGTTTATGCAAAGATCAAATAGATCAGATTTCTCTTATTGTCTCGTTATTCTTGTCTGTTTGGTTTACTATTAAAATGCTGTGAGAGATAAACGTTAAAATGTCACTTTTCATTTTACCTCTCTACCTGCTGTTTGTGCTTTTAGCTTATCGGAGTTGACAAAATTGTTTCACTGCTAGTCAGATGCGAAAGAGACACAAGTTGCGTGACTTTCATCATGGGTCTCGCCCTTTCCGGTCCTCTTTGCCCGTGCAAACAGTAACTGGTTCTTTAGCATTATTAATCATTTTAAGACTTCTAAATCATCGTTTCGAGAAGCAATGAAATGTTAATTTCTTGGGGTATATCATACTTTGATTTACCGTTCATTTGGGTTAAGCTTCCTCAGCTTTTTGAAACAAAACATGATGGAATGTGAATTTGATTGACTTGTTTGAATCTCGTGAGATTCATAGGATCATGTTCTTTTCATAGCAGAGTTGAGGCAGAAATATATTTTGTTTCAGATGCTAATCAACCTGTGGTAGTGTGAGCATGGGTGCGAGATTGATCATGTATGCCGGGGGCTATGTTACCTGAAACCGTACCTGGTGATGTAGAAAATCATGATCTTTTCATACACCTTTGAGTTCGAGGAATGCTTCAATTTGACGTGTAATCAAATCAGCCCCTTAAATTATCGTTGGTAAAAGCTGCACGATTTATGCTTTGTTACATTGTCTTGATGCTACGAAACGAAAAATAAGGAACTCTAACCTAATCTTTGCTCTGTATAGAAAAGTGAACATGAATACAGTAGCACGCGATGCATTATAGTCTTCCAATGTAAAACTTAATTGATCCACTGATTATTTACACGGAATCAAGTCCAACACATGCCTGTAGTTTTCAGTGTATATTATATTGCAGTTCGTCCATTCATCCTCGCGACGCTATTCTCTATATGTAGACAGCTCATGCTTCTTATCATTAGCTCGGCAATATGTGCAACACTTATATTGCAATGCATTGCCTCAGTTAATAAAAATTTGTTTTCTGTTTCAGAGTAGGCAGTGCCTTTACCCATTTTATTTTAACGAGTACGTAATGAAGAGATTCCTAATTATTAAAAATACTAACTGAGTCTAGAAAGTGCAGTAACAACGAGGTGCCTTGAAGGTGGGGCTGCATAAGACTCAACATTGCTACATCAATGCTACTCATTGACAGAGGTATCCCAGATAAAAAGTGGGTTATGAGCGAGTTAAAAGGGCAATTAACCTTGATTTTCTAGACAGGGTTTTATAAACGTTGACGGAAAACGGCAAAATTTGCACTTGTTGCCATCTGTTTTCAGCCATCTGCGCGTTAAAATTAAAAACAAAAATTGTCGATACCGGAAGATTTGTCGCAAAGTTGATTCCAGGATCCAAAAATTGTTTTAATCTCCGACGCCGTTTACTTGTTACCAGCGGCTTCCCCAAAGCTGCGCGCATGCAATTCTGAAACGAATGGGTTACTTTTAAGCCATGGTTTGGATTTACCTTAAGAGGCAAACTGAGATTATATTTTATCTTTCATAACACAACCCGTCATGTCTCTTACCTATATTTTCGCTGTGCTTGTTGTTCGTGACAAAGCCAGTAGTTCTCTGGAAAAATTGCCTCCGTAATCGCACGTGTCAACAATGGGAACTATTGAACTTTCTGAAAATTGTGGGTCTTTTATCACTGATTATTAGAATAAAAACCTGTTTGACCTGTTTTCAATCATTTCAGACGTGACGAGGATTACCTGAGCAGGGTCTCTCACTCAATTGTAATGACTTTGTAAATTTTATACAATGATTAAATCTAGGTTTGAACCAGTTTCAAAATCTGCTAAATACTAATCTCTTTTCCAGCTTCTTACTCAATTCCCATTGACTACTCCGACCGCATAACACCTTCTTTGATCTAACGCTTGATTCGGAAATAACCAGAAAGGCCAAAATAATAAAAACTTTATTAGCTCATGGACTGGGAATCTCCTGTTATTGACACGGGACCTATTTATGGATTCATTGTGGTGAATCTGGTTGACAATAATATGTAATGCGTGACCGGAAACCGCGATTCTGAAATCCAGGTACTTTCGAACTCCCCAATTCACTACACCCCTATTGAGATTGAAACTGTAAGCTTCACACTATCCTCTCCACAAACATTATTCCTTCGATCGCATGCGTCTTTTTCCAACGCTAGCTCTTGAAGAGAAAAGCACAATGTGATCAGATCTGTGTTAATTTATCTTACTGATAATTGATCCTCTCTCACCTGATTTAATCAGAGGTATCATTAAGGTTAGTCTTTAAAATTAATCCAGGTATATCTTGTTCAGGTTATGATATAATTTGCAAACAATATAAATTTATTTGTAGACAATTCATAATTTAATTTCTTTAATTTTATCCTGAAAAAATCAGGATGAAGGGGCCCATCGGTAAAATATTAGGTTTTAAGTCACTTTCTTAGCAATTAATCTTCCTCCCTTTTTTATTAGTTTAAGGTTCCGTTGACATTTTTTGGTCTAAGGTCACTCTTTCAGTTTATGTTATATTTTACGGTCCACAAACGCATAATTTACATAGCATATATAGCTCAGCGCGTCTACATCCCAAGTTCATTCTTAGACTACTATTATGACTATTACAAATGAGAGTCAATCACTTGGGGGAATGAATATCTGGGTAACGTTACACCATATTACAAGTCGTAAACAACCTCATTTCATAAAAATCTACCGATTTTGCTCGATTTTGTCTGGCTTTGACCCAAAAATATTATTCTATAATCCCTTGTTATGTCTGCATTTGCTTCTTTTTTTTCGTCCATACGCGTTGTTTTCGTAAACTGGAAGAGGGGAAGGTGCTTTTAGTCTAAGAATTCCTTTTGTTGCCGCGTGATAAGTGTGGACTTGACCCTGGATACAAAAGGCCTTAAAACTGGCTTCATTGTGAAGTACGGATTTGTTGAGAGCATTTGTCATCCAGACATAGGTCACAGTAAGTATTGAAAAAGAAAAAAAAGTTAATGGTTTTATTCAGCCACCTCCCCTTTAACGCCCTAGAGATCGTTGCCCACGCGAAGTTTTTGCTCGGGAGAGAGCTTTCACGTATAAACTTTGTTGTGAAGCCCTAGTCTTGATTGAACCTAGTTAGCTTTTGAATATAATACAGTAGTTCTCTTCGACAATAATTCGTGTGTGTTAAAGGAACTTACCTTGTTTACAATGTGGACGAACTTCCAAGTACCGCGTGAATCCTTTGACAGAACTGTTTCACAGGTTCAACTAATTTGTCGGTTTAGGCGAGACCTAGAGCCTGGGAAAACAAGTTAAAATGACCAGCGCGATTGCTATAGTGAAGTATTGTTTGCACCCATGTAGAAAAACATTGCCTTGATGTTTATACAGCTAACGGAGAGTGAAAAATAATCTACTTACGAATAATAAGAGGAGGTATATAAGAGTATCCATGTGATTCTATTCGCAGCTGGACTTAAAATCTTTGTGTAAATAATATTTTCAATGGAAAAATATTACACAATGATATTTTTACAATGCGTCAAGCTGCGAGTAAAATTGGCGACAGCTGGGGAGTGCATTGTTTATTCGGTCTAATCATGGCACGACTTGACTGAGAAAGCGTTCTCAAGTTATGTTCATATAGAGATGAACAAATGTGATGTAGGTCTGTTGAAAATTGCAATAGATTTTGTCCTCTGCATGGCGTTAGCGTGCCTTAATATTAGCGGAAGGAATTAAGTAAAGCTCGACTCAGACAGTCTGTCCTATTGCAAGTCATGACCATATATGGGCATCAGCAAGAACTATCACATTGTTTGAGCGCAGCGAGATAAACACTTATCTGACTTATAGCATGTTCCACAAACAGGAGAGCAAAAATGACATTACAGAAATTGGGTTTCGTTAGATTGTGCATATAATATGGAACCGATAACATTTAAAGGCAGCAGACAAAACCAAAATTACAAAGATTTAAAGAGGCTCATGAGGGTGGAAAGATGAAAATATGGATTGAAAATGTTATCATGGCTTTAATTAAAGGGAGCTGTAGGGAGTAAACAAGCAAAAAGATGACCTTATTGGGGGAAATCCCTGCTGTGTCTGTTTGTTTCTTTTTTTTGAGTGAAAAACACTTCCTATGATTAACTCATCCGTGCATCATGAGCGCATCCTCATTTCACAAACAGCGGCCAGTGCACGAGCCTGGTAATCGAATCGAGAGGCGTCGTGACAAAATTCATGTCCAAAGCAGACCCTTTTTTTATTGAAAATGGTACCTCGTATGAGTCAATCCTTAAGTTAACCCTTTCACTCCTAGAAGTGATTGACATGTAATTTCTCCTCGTAACATCTGTTCAATATTCAGCAAACAGATAATGAGAATATTCATACTTCTCAGGTAGATCTTATCTTGATCTAACACCAACTTCTCGAAACTGCCTTACAAGAAAACGTGTGACAGGTAAACGGGAGAACGGACAATTACATCTTAGAAATCGAAGGTTTAAAAATGCTAACGCACTCAGTAGAATGCTCTGTGTATGTACTTCGTTATCGTAATCATTTTACTAGGAGTACATTTTACTATTAACTTTATCGTCTATTCGTGGTAAAAGGACTATTGCGTTACTCGCCTTATCAAATCAATCGTTTATAGTTTTAATTTACGTTTAAATTTATTTTAATTTCTTAATGATGTTTTATAAGACTCCTTCGCGTAGTCTCACTAGTCTTTCTCTCAATGACATAGCTGGTTACGTAAGAGTTCTCAATCACCGTAACGGTGCGCTTACTATACATTGTCACGCATTCAATGCTGGTCACGATCCTGACTATGGTTCACTAATTAAACTGCCCAACTATCAAAGTCGCATCAATTCGACCCAATCGCACACACCATAATGTCACGCGCGGGTTAATAGAATCTACCGCCCCAGTCTCTCACTCTGAATCTCCAAGTTATGATTGTGACTGGTTTTTCTTTACGGATCTTTTAAATCTACAGAACACAGACTGTCAAGACTACTACTGTTGCTTTTAACTCTGAAATAGGTTTCCCGCCTATCCCAATTATTCATTTCTCTAAATGACAACATCAGCGCCCAAAAAGACAAAATGGTGGTCGCCGCGAAGAGACCCGCCAGCACCAAAAGATAAACACTTGGAATAATGGTTCGACATATTGGGGTCACGTGCTCATGATCACATTCCTGTCCTTTACACTCTTGAACACAGCGCTTGGCTTCACACACAAAAGAGCATGCTCCAGAGAGACACCGCTGGCTACAAAAATCCACGCCACTTGTACACTCCATGTGACAGTCATGGCATTGCTGGAAACAAGTCCCAGATGAACACGTCATGATCTTACAGCTGGAGTCGTGGCAGGTCTGGTTGCACGTGGTATAACGCGAATCCCCGGATGTGAAGCCGCATCTACATGGGGACCTATTTCTGCACTGTTGTAAACAAGTACTGGAGACTACTGCGTTACAATTCTCTGTCGGTGACGCCTTGAGCTTTGTGAGGAGAAGGAATTCCACGACAAGCACAACTAAACAAAACATATTTATCCCTGTAAAGAAATCGCAGAGGTCCAAGATATAAGATTCATATAGCCTTAAAATTATTATGCTAAACTTACGGTTTTTGATGATCAATTTCTTTCATCTCTTCACGAAAATATAGGGGCGAACAGATGACGAGTTTAAAAATAGATCAGAAAAATAAAAGGATACCAATGTTTCGTTTTTGGTACATGACCGGTATTAATCAATCTTAGGTAACCTACAATCGACAAACAGGAAGCATCTTAACCTTCGGTCAAAGCAGATTGGAGAATGATTGATTCTATTTTTCACCGCTGAGTTTACAGTAATCTGTTGTCCATCCCTACAACGTACACCTCAGCTTATCCTCAAGGGCACGTCCAGCCGATCCTATTTTGAACAGGGTATCACACTTTTCCCATTAGAAAGTCGTGTGATCCCTTGTTTATTCTTCGAATTGCTGAACTCAACACCCCAAAATTCCCTAGGAACAGACTTCTGAAACATTAATGTTTCCACCACCTTCTTATAGACGTTATAGGCTTTGGTCAGTCTTCGGCTTTACCGAGTAAGCAGACTCAGCTGAAGTAGCTCTCCACGATGTGACCTTATTGAATAATTCACTGTTAATTCAAATTAATTCAAATATTGGAAATTCTGAATTCATACTATTATGAAGCCATCATGTTGTGACATGCACCCGCGATAGTTAAAAACTTGCTACCCAGATTAAAAAAATGTAATTTATAGCCCTTTTGAGCCTATTAACACTAATTTGCTCTCAAAGTTCTTTTTGCAGATGAAATTTCATGCGAATGAAATGTGTTTATCATTGGTTATCAAATGACTTTGTTTGTTAAAACAGTCCTATTTTAAAAATGGAGTCCAACATTCCTTGAAGAATGTCTAAAAATTAAAAAAAAACAAACTGGTGTTCGCGGAAATGGAATTTGTAAGACAGTTCAACGCTCCCCCTGAAAAGTGTCCATAAGCTCAAACAAATAAAATACTTTGCTCGGAAATGAGACCTAGAAGTCTGTTGAAAAATAATTTGACTTCTCTCGTTTTTACTAATTCATTAGCTGCAGAGTGGAAAAAGCACGATCACTCACCTTGAATGCTTTAAGTACAAGGATGATGTATTTATGGCAAAGTTCTACAGATGGTGATCGTAGAAGAAAGCGGATGCAGCTCAGCTATTTTATCTGATCACGTTCGAATTCAAATTGTTTTGCAAGCACAGGGGCGTCGCCTTATCCGTCTTCCCTCCTAAAATAGATCATGATATCCCAAATTAAAACCGCATTTTCCTTAGAGAGCCTCACAGTACCATACAGGAAAACTTTCTTGACTAAAATGACATAATGCAATTACACGATGATACATTCAGAGAGGTATCGGGTACAAGACGTGACTTGTGATTTAACTGATGTTCCTACATAATTAACCTCATGCGAATTATATCAACAAGTCCATTAACCGCAGTAATGCCTCGGCGTACGGAAATTAAATATCGTGCCAACAAGTATTTTGACTAATAAAAGTTTGCGTTTAGTTTAAACAGACAAAATAAAGTGCAAAATGGCACGATTCTTCTTTTGGTAAGTTATTAAAAAACAATACTTTCCTTTGTTTGGCAGATTTATTCTTTGGCTCTCCTATTTTTGTACCAACCAAATGCAAGTACTAGAAAACATCTCGTGATTACTAGTGACGTGAGTAATGTACACCAGCTGTTAATGTTTCTTAGACAAGTTTTAGAACTCACGTAGGCGTCAAGAAAAACTTAATTTGACTGAGAAGGCGTGAGATGCATTGTTCTTTTCGCATTGACTACAAGAGAAGGTTCAAGAATTCGTGAACCGAGACGCACACGTTCTGACATGAAACGTTAAATTAACCAGACGAATACGCAACGCTCCTGCACAATGCATGCCTTGGATTAAGAAAAATATGTTCTTTTGATTCATCATCCCTGGTTCATAATTCTAGAAAGTTAGAGCTGTAAATAGCATCTCCTTTTAACAATGACCTTGAAGGAAATCTATGCTCTACATGTCAAAAATTGATGTGGTTCCCAGCTGGAAATATTTTCTTAAATATTGCGCAACCTAAAAAGTAATGTAGTGTTTATCATCAGAAAACGGAGTGTAAAGTATGCATTAGCCGTTGATTATAGCTTTTAGAAGAAAATCCAGAGCGACATACTCACAATCGAATATTTTCAAATCTTAAATTTTGACACGAGGTCTGATGTTCGTGATTTTCAGTGTTTCAATTACGACCCTCTCTTCCTGCCAGAAGCAATCATGGTTTCCTATTGTATAAGTGTTCACTACTTCTATGTTTACAATTTCGCGGCATCTTTAGTTCGCCTGATGCAGAACTGTTTTCCAACTGAATTAAGAGTTGGACTTCATTTTTTCCAGTTCAGGAACGCTATTAAAATTAACGTTTTTAACCCTATTGGATAAACAGTTTCATAGGGATAAATATCAATTCGTAATACTTCCTAATTATTCAGTCAAAAGTTCAAGATGTTATCATTGAGAATTTAAAAAAAACGTGCCCTTTTAATCGGCTGAAATCTCTCGGACGACAACTTCTTTTAATTAAAATCTTTTGATATGAGTTACTTCAGCTTTTTTTTTAATTGATGACGATTTCACAGACCAGCGCTGGAAAGAAGAATGACAGTGAAGTGAAGATAACCGTAAATGTGGATGTTGGTTGTGACCATTGTTCCTTACACAAGGGGGGAGGGTGGGCGGAGGAAACATTGTTAACAGGATGAGAAAACCACGGGTAACATTGATTAATAACCGCATTGCCGCAAACAGCAGCATTGAGAAATCTTCATCCTACGTTCAAAGATCAATGTGTCGAAAATGCTGTGTTTAAGTTTAATCCAGAAGCACGGTTGTTTTGAGAATAATCGGATCAGGAATACTCCAGCTCAAAGAAGCATGACTTCAGCCTGTTGTTTAGATTGTCTATGATGAAAACTGGCCAAAACAAGACAAAACTGAAAAAAGCACGGCAGAAACAATACCCCAAGACAATATATGTTGATTGATTAATGTTAATGGAATCGCAGATAAATTCCTTTAGAAAATAAATAAAAAAAAAAAAAACACCAAAATAATTTTTCAGCTGGGAAGAAAAAAAAAGAGGAATTAAGAATACAACAAACCAATTATGAGCAAGGATCGCTGAGAATGGACAAGATGAACCCTTTCATTCCTAATATATCAGAAGTAATTCTCCTTACCGTGTGTCATTGATTTTTTATAAATGCAGTTCTGAGAATCTAGTATTAAATATAGTGATAATCCCCTTGTTATATTCTTTTTGATTCTCATCACCTTACTACTGGATAATCTATAGATGTTGTTAGGAGAAGTTTCTTATTGATCACTTGGAGGAGTGAAGGGTACGTTAATAGGGATTGCAAGTTTTTCAGTAACATTAAGTCTAAAACTTTCGAATTCGTCAAATGCACTTCAGACATAATTCTGAATTGAACTGCGACGAGAAAGCTGCACGGGTCGGTGATAATTTATGTTGCAAGAAATGTTTAACTAAGTGATAGTGTTTAAAGTCGTAGAGGAGCATGTGGCACCACTGGGTAACCAGAAAAAAGGAAAAGTACTTCCCATAACGAGTTAAAAAGTCAAGTTGCATACTCGCTAAACACGTGTAGATCTTTTTCTGTGCGAGGTTTGAATTTTCTTTTTTAACAATGATTAGAAAGAACCAAGGTAACAGCCTTTCGCAACATCATTTGTTTCCATGGTGACTGCATCAAAGGGGCAAGAAGGTGTTTTTAAAAAAGGGATAAGAGAATGAACGGCATAATATTAAAACTATTATACAATTACACAAAATCCGCTCAGAATTGATGCGATTGACATTCTTTCAAGATGTTTTTGGCAATGTAAACAAGTTAACACGTTTATGTTTGCGATAGATATTACTGGCATGGCAGAAAAAAAAAATTTTTTTTGAATGGCTGCCAGAAAATTCTATTTTGAACATTGTTTACTCACTGAGGTCCGTTTCGGACAAAACCGCAACATTTTTGGTCCATATTTGACCGATACCGCAGTCTGTACATGTAGCCAAATTCCACCTATCTTTGCTAACACTTCATATTCCATGATCTTATATCGTCATTCCACTTTCGTCTTCTTTTACTTTACAGCCCGTGTCCTTCGTTATTACTTAACAAAGGACAGAAACTCTTTGTATACAGGATAAAATATGGCTCTCCCCTTCTACTTTTAAAATTTTAAAATTCATAGAGCTCCTAATGACCGAGATCTTTGTAAGATTCAATATGAATTCTCTTTACTCGCTGCCCAACCTTTCAGTCGTTGTTAGTTTTGAGAATTGTGTTCCAGTTATATGTACTGTTTGTAGACAAGGGGCTTTTCTCGCCATTTTTGCTCTTCTCTGTTAAATCACAAGATATATTGATTATATTAGAGGAGAATTCTAAAATAGTACTTCCGTGAGAAGCGTAAGAAATCCCTTAGCAAATAAAATCATAAATTTAAGCTTGAACCTTAGATGTTGTTTCTCGTCCGTGTTCTGAGGGATTTCCTTTACGTTCTCCGCTTCTACTCTCCGCAAAAACCAACACTTCAAGTTCCAATTCGGCTTAGCTGTACGTCTGCCGTTAACGAGTTCTTAAACTTATTGGCATTACATGGACAAAAAAAAATTTAACATCACGTTTTCGAAATCACCTGTTGTACACAGAACATGTCCTAAAATAATGCGGTTTGATTTAATGGAAAGTATGTAATTTCAATAGACCCGTATCATGGTAAATTGCCAATTTTAAGTCTTATAGATTCCGACCGTCCAGAATCCCAGACGCTAAGGTATTGATCCCACTTCACGAACGACCCGTGGAAACAAGTACGTTTCCTTCATCACCTCCTTCCGGCTTAGGCCCGAATTGATTCAACGCATTAGCTTTGGAAAAAAAACCGATTATTAATTTGTCTTCAGTGTCCACTGTTTACGAAAAAAAAAAAAATAGCTGTCAAAATTTATTTCCGTTAAAAGGAAGTCTTGAAGAGGGGGTTGACCAAATTGTGAGCTTTTCAAAGCTCTTGTCGTTTCAAAAACAATCCAAAATGATGGATGTTCACGATATGTTGGGAAGATTTGATAAGTACCGGAAATTAATTCCATTTTTAATTTAACATGAGTAAGCTCCTTTGTGGCTGAGTACAGCGTCAGCTCACTTGAAAATCGATTGGAGTTTAGATGGCTTGTAGAGTTTTTCAGCATCTTATATAGAAAACTATTAAACACTGCAGTTTCGACCAAAAAACTTACCAGTTTTCCACGGAGGCTCTGTACAATAAACTTCCTTTCAGATGAAATAAGATAAAGACAAGTTATAAATGGATGTATCACACGCTCCTTGCGCAAGTGCAACCTCTCCTCAAACAGAGTAACTAATAATTTAGATTGGAGACGCACTCAGTCTCAAACATTATGTGCCACCTATGTAGTTGTGGCCAATGCCAAGCTTTCTTCGAAAAGACTCCCAGTATATGTTTACATCCTTATCAACACAAAGGTGTAAATTTGCCAAATAAGTAGATTTGGTTTTGACGATATTAGAGAGAGGGGAGGGGACAACTATTTGTGAGTTCACCGCCTGACCCGGTGAGGATTGAATTCAAAATACGCCACCGGCTGCTAAAGAGTTAACCTGGTTTAAAAAAGATGCATGAATTAAGGTGCACAACCCTTACAGCTGTGACTGTTTGGTAAATCGTACGAAAAACTAGATCCGTTTTCGTGAATTCGCTCATAAAACATGTATTCCACAGGGCTGCAGATGGTTAAATGAACAGATGAAGAGAGCACATTCCCCCACTACTCCTTCAGTGAGTGCAGGCCCATTGAGAAGATGTCCTTAACGAGCCGTATGCTGGACCGGGTTAAAGCTAGGTAAACCATTAATAAGCAAGGTCAAAACAGTTGAAGTAATACACGATTGACGGCCTGAATCGACGTAAATCGGTAATAACTACTCGGTGAACTATCACCTTTTTAATCCTTTGTGGCTTGAATTTAAAGGACTTTGTTCTACACATAGTAACTTAGTCAAGCTTAAATGTTACCCTATTTCCCGAATGAGCTTCAGTGCTCCTCTTTGGTCCAGTTTCCTTGCATTACTGTTAGACTTGTGAAAGAAACGCATCGGCCGCTACGGAAATAAAAGAGCGCCGGCGTGCTTGTTTTCTCACCGCATGCATGTCAGAAAAGATGTTTCATTAATTTACCATATGCATTCAAGTACTTTGTTATTGTTTTCACTGAGATTTTTTCACGTTTCTAGGGTGAGCAGGTCGTCTGTCATTATTAAGCTTTAGCCCACAATGGATCGGAATTTCACCCATCTCGCTCTGACATAACTGTCAGGGTAATCTTTTTATAGCGCAACTTTAACCCGTCGATAACCTTGGGCGTATATATTTAAAACCGATCAGCAAATCGAAAATGAATTGAGTGGTTTCACAAAAACACCTGTTTTATTAGATGCAAAAAGAGGATGAGGTTAAAACTAATAAATCTGGAAAGTTCCGAAGTTTGTTTGTTCTCGCAATTTACTTTCAGCATTCTGATCTATCTGCTTCTTTTGCTATTTGGCGTCCAGCCATCATTGTTAATTTAGCTGACCTTTGAACCAACCCATTTAAAGAAAACACAGTTAATTTGACATCATTTTAAGTTAATCACAAAGAAACATATGTTTATTTCAGTGGAGTGCGTTTCAATGTTAATGCTTCCTTCGTGATTGCGCAAAGGAGATGAGACTCTTGGTTTCAAACCTTTCTTATCTTTTGTAAAAAAGGGCTCCCATAAGAAAACCCGGATTTACACAATCGTCTTTACTGTGACAATTTTTAATTCTTGCACTCAACAAATATAAAAGGATAACAACTGTATTTTCTTTTTCATTAAATACTGACACAATTCCAGTTCACAACCTACTAAAGCTACTTGTAGTTCATCCTACTGGAATAGTCTTTATCTCCAAGGCTACAACTTCACTTCGTTTTCACAAAACTCGTTCCACCCTTCATGTAGTGAGGAACACTATAAAGTCTCGTGCGTGGATATCCTGTGTTTCATGGTGTGCAACACAACTGGTTATTTTGTTAATAACGCTTTGAATGGGTGTCCCGTGGGCTCTTGTACTATACAACTGAAGGTTTTGTTGGTAGACTTTCTAAGCTGCTGCAAAGGTCACGAGAAACAAGCATGGAAGTTTTTCTCGTGCAATAACTCATCTGGCTGCAAGACAACATCAAAGCTAAACAAGTCAAAATTGTAGTAGCTGCAAACAGACCAGCTAAGATGACCAGGTAGAGGCGTGGTATTAAAGGCTCTTCGTGTTCCGTAGGCAAGTGTTTGCAATCATTACCTGCACATTTTTGTACACATTCCTTGGCGCTACACTTAAAGGAGCATGCTCCTGACAAACACCGCTGATTACAATAACCGACGTCACCAGTACATTCCATGCGGCAGTCATGACACTCCTGATGGCAAGTCCCGGATGTACACGTCAGTACCTTGCACTGTGTATTTCCGCAGGACTGGTGACATTCTCTGTAAGCATAATGGGTGTCGTTTGATAGACACATACATGAGGTGCTGCCACATCGTTGAAAGCACTTGGTCGACGTCACCGAGCTACAATTTTTTGTGGTTGATGTTACAGAAGGCAGAGACACGACAATGATGAAGACAATTCTAAGCATTTTCTTTCTGAAAATAAAAAGAGAAAAATTTATTAAGCCGTGTGTCAAGGAATAACGCTCGAAACGTCAGCTTTTTTACCCTTTACGGTGGCTAATTTACGTTTTCAACTCAGTTGTTAACACTAAATTACCTGCTATACTCTCCCACCGACGCAGCACCAGTTTCTTTAGAAACTTACCACTTGATTCAAGGAGTACACTGACACTCTATTGAAGGGTTTTGTAGTGAAACAAAGCATTTGATTCTCCTTAAAACACTTTAATAGGACGCGAAGGATGAACACAGTCGAAAGAGCAACATTTGATACATCGCATTTTAGATTAATCACGGTCGCCTAAAATTTCGCTTATGCTTTGTACTTCATCATGTATCTTTCAACTGGCAGCTAATCAAAGTGATCTTTATCTAGATGGCTTTCATCGATCATACAATATTCTGCCCTTTATTTTTTAGAGAGCATTTTCTCAGTTTAAATCAACGGGCACTCTTTACCTCTTACCATCGCCGGAACATGAGATGGCGGAATGACGCTTAGCTTATACTTAGAGAATTTGATCTTAATAACTTTCCTGTCGCTTTGTAAACTATTATGATCGTAGTAAACGCTTGTGTTCATGCACGAAACAAAAGGAACGCCTACCAGAGATAAGTAAATAAAACCTATCCGGGCGGTCAGATCAAAAAAACAAATTAAAAACACGAATGAAAAACATTTCCTTCTCTCCATTTGATAACCAGTGCTGCTACATAATTATCTAACTCTTCAGCCCTTCTGCAAACTTTGTTTACCCGTAGATAATTTTCGTTTTGATAATTAGATTTTCTTACCGACTCCCTCTTAATGTGATCACCTTCTTTAGTTTCAAGTGGCAAACGAAGTATGGAATATCTATACGTGTTAGTTGTGGTAACCTGCTTTTCCTTTAAAGTTCTTCAAAAGCAAAGCAGTTGCTGCCCGAAACGAAACTGAATTTTTTTAAAACAAGGTCTCTTTCCAAAGGCTCGAAGGTCCTGCTCCAAAAACGTAGAGACACTGAAAGTTTTACCGACTTTAGAGCATTAAAATTTCTCCTCCAGGGTTCAAGTTTCGCTGGGAAATGATTGTGCGATACTGCAACACTTAAAGGGAAACTTCTCGTATTTCGTAATGTTTAGATAACCTTGAACTCAGTAAGCAATCAGAATTTCTTTTATGCCAATGGGATGCGGAGGGTACTCTCACTCGAAAATAACCTTTGGGTGTGTCTTAACTAAGCAACTCAGGGCGCCTGAACTTCGACAACGGCCTATTTTTTTGTCCACAAATGACCCTATATAGTCTGACAGTATAAAAAATTATTGGCGCCTAGTCCTGGAAGCTCTTGGTAACAAAACACGCGATTCGTTCACCGGGCGGAAAGACTAAGTTACCTACCCTGATATTGGAAAATATCCGGTCCCCTCCCCCCCTTTCCCGTTCCTCCGCTTTGGCGCTCAAGACTTATTCTCTCCCCTTGTATTTTTGGTGTTAAAATCTCCTTCTATAAGCCAGCACGTGTACACGAACTGCGCACGTCAATTTACTAGTTGCAGAGCGAAAGACAATTGTCTCCCTGTTTACAAAAGTGTCTTCCTATTTATTTTGCCTGCGGGCGAATAATTCCTCTATCTTTTTTTTCTTATTGAGAATGGACGGCACAGCTTGAACACATCGTGGTATGTATAAAAAGTCCGCTGCTTCAGGAAAAAAAATTGTCTTATATCATGTTAACATAGACGAAAACAACAAGTCCAGGAGATCACGACAAGTATAACTCTCCAAGTGATCGCATTAAAAAAAAGACAACACATGTTAGGAAACCTTTCGGGTTTTGAAACCCAAGATTAAAAGCCGAAAGAGTGATTAGCTCCAAACTTGAAGATGATTTATACTCCAAGAGGGAACGCAAAATTCGTAACCTGGATCCCAACTGTTACGTTTTGCTTTCACATCAAGATTGCCTTGACCGAGAACAAAGCCCTCTACCGAGAACAGAGTTGAAATACAAACCTAATGTCTATTGTTGCGGTTTGAATTTTTTCGGAACAATAGTCCTTCATTACAATAGTCTTTTTGTCGTGGGGCTCTTATCGAATATATTCTAGGTATACCATGGTCTAAATTGGAATCTTACAGAAGATATGTACCACTAAAATGTAACTAGATTCAAATACCTTAGTGAGAAAAAAACAGCAAGAACGATTGCCCCGAAATAAACAAAACTTCACCGCATGCTGAAGTAAAGGCCGTTCAGTACACTTCACTTGTTTTGACAAAAAGAACGAACAAAGCCCTTTGTCACATGTTAAAGAAGCGCGCGAGGAATCCTAGATGGTAACGTGAGCGCACTCCACTTTGACAAGTGTCAAACATGCCAATCTGTTGTTGTCGTTGTAGCAATCCCTGACTCAGGAGTGATTGAAGTCAACGAAAAAATCAAAGCTGGCCGAACTCGTTAAATGCTTTGCGAAGATAAAATCACCGGAACCCGTCTCCGAGACTTGGTCTTGTTGGCGGTCACGTATGCCCTTGTTCTCTATGATGATAGGCGAAGCGCCAAGACCAACATTGACTGATGATGATGAACCATCATCATGATGGCTCACCTTTTCGCACTCTCGATTATTATTATGTAAAGTACCCGCTTACTTTCCCAGCTTTCTTTCTTACAAAACAGCCCTGTGTGTAAAACATTTTTAAAAATAACCTTACAAGCCTGACAGAAGAGTCTAACTCAAATCTAACTCTTAATCAATTGTTGGCGATAAACAGGAAACAGCACAGGGAACAAAAACAGGATCAAATAATATCATAGGCCTCTAAATCAAAATGATTAAATCTTATAGTTCGGAAATTAAAATCAAACTGAAATAAAATGGACAATGGCATGGTCCGAAAGCAGATAAATATTTCATGACTGTAAAGAAAGCAATTACGAGCCCGTGTTAGGTTTTTGGGAAACGAAAAGAAATTTTGTTGAAATTTTTAGCATGAAGAAAAAGTGTCATACTTTATCAAACTTTGTGTTGGAAATAATAATTTTGTCAGCTGGGAACAGTCTATTCAATACTTTAATCACATTCAGCCCTCTTAAACTGAAGTTCTCGTAACATTTGAGCTGTTTTTGATGCACGACGCCATGGAGGACGCGAAAAATTCAGGAATTGACATAACACGTTATATTCAGTCACTCAGACCGGCAACAATCACCTCATTGTGAAGACAACCTTACAGTGATGCATATTGCTATGGATCAAAGGCAAGGCAGGTTGTCAAAGACAATGGCATTTCCATAAATGCCGCAGGCAGCACTGAGTGATTCTTTCTTCTAAAGGATATTTTTCGCATATTTTGTGATGTGTATACGAGTATAATTGGAAGGCCTTCTCCCAGCGCGCATCAATCTTTCACATCACTAATAATCATTTACATTTTGTCATCGAATTGGACGAAAATTCAGTCCATGTTGCTTAAACTTACCCATCTGTGTGTCAAACCAGTCACACATATATCCCTTCGACCAAAAGTCTGTAGCTTGAAGTTGTAACAAGCGTTTACAGCACAGAATGCAAGTTCCCTCTGGGCTCAAATATTTTTTTTGCCGGAGGGTTTTGAAGGCTTCGAGAGAAGTGAACGTTAGGTTGTCATGAGCACTAAACGTGATACATTACTTAAGCACGTACTCCTGAACAATCGATCTATGACGTCAGAAGCCAGAGGGGTCAGATCGTTCTATTATTAATAATTCTTGATAGTTCCGCCGATTACTGTTAACTCAGAGTTCAAGGTTGCTTAATCAATGTAATTGCGATTCTACCATTTTACAGTCTATCGAAAATCTTCTCGAAAAAACTACACGATTTAAAGCGACTCACTCAACCATGTAATAATGAGATGTTGCTGACAGATAGGGTTTGAAAATCGGAGCAAGCTTCTAGAGCATGTTTCATTTAAGCGCGTGAGCGTAACTTATACAAAATTGCTCTTGTGAAAGTAATCAATCATCTAAGAGCTTCTACCCATTTTTTGTTTCCCCTCCCCACCCTCCCCACCCTCCAACTGATAAATATTAAACATCCAACCTCTCTTTAGAGTTAGACTCAAGGGCCAAAGAAGGAAGGACGTGATCCGTTGTGTTTTCCTTAAACAGATAAATCACACACGTCAGTCAAACAATCTGTTCGTAAGAAAATGAATGATTTTAGATCATCAAGGGAAAGTGTTGGTTCCCATTCCACACCGAGGAAGGCTTGTAGGTATTAAACATTGTGCTTATATATGGACCAGTTTCTACCCTGATTGCGTGCTTGTTAATCGTAACTATTGAACTTTCTTAAACCATGACCGGAAAACAGATGCAGTCGCTTTCGATGCGCTTTGAAAATCAGCTTAAATGTGTCACCCGTGTAAAAGAAAAAAAATTTTTTAAAAACATAGTTACGTAAGAGATCACCCAAAGAACATCTGACGTCCAGGTTCCGAGTTCGTCGTTGCTCATTCGTAACTTTCAATCTAAAGATCTTTTTTTAAATTCTCTGTACTGTCTGCGATATATTTGTTTTACATTTGGCTCAGAGAATTTGATGTCAAATCAAAAAATACAATCCGATCGATATTTTCCTCTCTTTTCGTAAGTCACACACGGGAAAGAGAAGGTTTACACTTCTAATGTTACAACATTTACGAGCGTTATGCAGTGAAGTCCCAACAATTTGTCTCTTCGTCTTCCGTTTTATTTCAATCCATCCATTTTTATTACTTTATTTGCGTCTATTCTTTGTCATGCTACACTCGTACGCTCTGACTAGTAAGAAGTATAATGGCTATCTTGAAAACCACCTGTTTCTGTATTTTATCAGTGCGCCGGAATTAATAATCTCTATAGCCTGTGAGCAACAGCGGGCCTTGATTACTAGCTCTGCAGGACGTGTGTTTCTCTGCCCGAGGGCAAGATTCGAGACGAATCAGGAAGAGGTTCGCCGGGAGTTCCCAGTACCAGATCCCTTGCAGACCTTCCACCGTCCCGTGTCGCTCAAGGCCTCAAACCCCTCCCCCCTCCCCCCTCGGGCAAAGAAACGCTCGTCCCGAAGCACTAATAGTGACCACCCTCTTGTAGTTTAATCAGAGGCACTGTATAATTTTCTTTGCACCGCAACATCATTATGCATATTCTCCATACTGTTCTCTATACATTTTGTATGTTCTAAAAAGGAGAATTTGTAAAACCATCAAGAACTTCGTTAGTTGCTGATCATTTCCTTTATTCTCTTACCTTAAACATTTGATTCAAGGGATAGATTGTAAAGAGAAATTAGAACCTTGTCACTCCTAGGGATTAAAGGGTTATAAGAGTTGAACACGTCGATCTATTTTAGATTAACTTATTAATTAACTATTTCTCGATTTTTCAGTCCTCAATGAAGGTCCAACAGACATCACAAAGGCAAACAATTGTTAGGAAATCTGTACCACTTGCTATTATTATTTAGTCGCGAAACAAAACAACAGGTACGAAGGAGATTAACTTCTCTTATAGATTAACTTATACATAGCAATACTTTTTCCATGCACAACAAGGAAGCACGCAGATGTAAAGCCACGAAGTTGCAAGGCTCAAGAGCACTTGTCCAGTGTTTTCAACACAACTTGGAAACCTCTATCAAGTGAACAATCTCAAAAAGTCCTTTTTAAGACTTTCCTAACCCTTTAATCCCTAAGAGTGACCAGTACATAATTTCTCCCTACAATACTGATCATCCCATATTTAAACATTAAACATATTCTCCATACTGTTCTCTATACATTTCCTAACGTGCTGGTGAGGAGAATTGGTTTAACAATCAAGAGGTTCTTCGGTTGATTATCATTTCCTTTATTCTCATGACCTTAATGTTGGATTCATGGGTCGTATTGAAAGGAGAAATTAGATGCCAGTCACTCTCAGGGATTAAGGGGTTGATAAAGATATTCCGCTCTGATTCTACAGGTTAACAAGTGTTCCAAGCAATGCCTTTCTCCTTCCTTGATGCACTACACGAGATCGTCTTTAAATGGACTATTTCTATCAAATATGTGGCCAGATGTGACAACGCCCATTCACTGGCAATTGTTTTATTGGCTATCAACTATAGACGGTATCGTCCTTCGCTAGTATTGTCCCAGGAGATCTCTCGTTATATCCTTAATGGGCCAACAACAGTAATCAGGAACAGTAACGCTCTGTCTTGAACTATTGACGCCTTACTCTGAGATTCGCCGATGTAATCACAACTTCCTTTAAAGCATTGTCTTCTACACTGCGAAGCAAAACACTTCATCTTACAGACTCCTCCCAGGCACATCTGATCACACTTGTCCACCCCCCTGGTGCACTCCATCGTACAGTTTGCACAGACCTGGTTACACGCGGGTGACGAGCACGTGATCTGTTTACACCTGGCTTTCCATACGCATAACTGTGAACAGAATTTACTTGATCCACAATTCATGTTACACTCACCGAAAAAACACTTCTGCGCACAAGCGTTTCTCCCTAAATGAAAAAATAAAACACAACGCTTTAAGTTTTAACCCCTTGAACCCTAAAAGTGACTAACATATAGTTTCTCCTCACAATAACACACCTGAACCACACATTAACGTCACAAGAATAAAGGAAATGATCACCAACGAAAGACGATCTTGACTGTTAAACAAAGTCTGCCTGCCAGTACAAAAGGGTGAACCCTCTTGCTTTAAAGATCTAAATCTTAATTCTTCGCACTGTCTACTGAACATTTCTAGTTGCTTTGGTACTGAGAATTTGGTGTTGAATCAAACGATATTCCCTGATTGATTATTTTATTTCCTTCTTGTCGCCTTTCTGCTTATGAATGAATTGATATTGTTAGGAGATTTCACTTGGCTTGGGAAAATAAAGTTTGGTTACCAGAACAATCCATCGCAGGACACGAAGAGAGAATATGACACTTTTGAGAGCAGCTTGAGAAAGAAGTTGTGTCCACCATGTCGCATGTGCACTTGTTGAAGTTGCAAGTCTTCTGGCATAGATTTTGATTAATGTGGCCTCCAGCACATTTTTCCTCAGCTCGTGAAAACGTTGCAAACATGGTCACCAGCACCACCAATAATGCTACAGCTGTCATCATTTTCTCCAACATCCTATGAAAGTAAAAAAAGTTAATGGTTTTTCGACTATTAATGATAGAGAATAATTGTTCAGATAATAACAGAGATTTTTGCTCTCTTATTGGTCGAGGATTACGTTGCGTTTTATATTTCACCCCCAAAATTTAAATATAAACTGCCCGCACTAACTGCGATTCGTTTCTTATAGTTTTAGTTAACTTTATCTCTTTTTCAGGTCATGTAATTAATTAAAGGCCATCAAAATCGAGGCGCGTGCTAATGAAAGCGTTTAATGATATTGCGTTTTGACGGTATGGGGCCGTAGGTTAGGTAAATTGTGATATTAAAACCAGAAATTACATATTACACGTTGGAAAATGCTTCTTCCTCTCTTATAAGACTTGTATACTAAATTATACACTCTTATAATACTAAATTAAAGACGGGAACACAGCTTTAAAACCGACAATAATGGTAGGTAAGCCTCATTTCCCTTTGTTGTCGGTCTTCAAAGCCGATGCTATCACTATAGATAGAAAATAATGATGTCTTATTGAGCTTCTTACGATTTAAATTAAAATCCATTCAACACAAGGTGCCATTCGTGACTCCTACTGTTTTGAAAAGAAATTATGCTTTCCACTTTCTCTGCGGTGTTTAATAATTAAGAACTGAAGGAGTTGCTTGGCGGGGAGATAACACTGTGTAAGGTAAATAAAAGAAAGTGGAAATCTATTTTTAAAATAAAAAAAAATCTCAGCTCCTTTATATGTAATACATAGTATTCGGTACTGCTAAGCTCAATCTAGCAAAAATGCACTGAAAAGGAAGGCCACGTAAACACGAAGTAAACAGAGGAAGTTAAAAACAATCTTATTCATAAAACTTATATTCTGATATAAAGATTATTTAAAATCCGAGGTGATGCTGAAATTCTAAACCATTCCGTTTCCTTTCGAAATAAGGAAAAGCGCAAATGCAGTAAGAAGATTAAAGGCTTATTTCCCCGTTCAACTAAATGAAAAATACACACACATCTGTACAAACAAAAACATACATATAGCGATGGACATGCTGAGTACTGAGACTACCGCACTTCTCTAAACGCCACATTTTCTCACCACGAAACTGAGTCTTGAAATATATCTGTAAATATTAACTTAAGTCTTAAACACATCGCATTCACACACTTTTAAAATGTACGTTGAATATCTTTATGAGCTGTGAGAGCCATACTCTCACATACAGTGCCTGAATGAATATTATAAACATTGAGACGCTTTTACTTACATGCACTATTAGTTGCTTCAGATTTCCGCTGCTTTTGCACCCCTCTCAGATTTTCCGCCCGCGTTTTCTTCCTTAAAGAACAACAGAAATTTGATTTGGGAAAAAAAAAACGCGCAAAAATCTACCTATCTCGTACAATTGTCCACAAAAAAGTCAGAAGATGAAATTTCTACAAATTACATCCTAAAAAGTTAATTTGTATAGATATACCTCACGACCAACAACAAAATTGAAAACTGATAAATTATTTATCAAGGATGACTTTCGTCAGAACTTCCACAAGGTTCGATTAATGAGAAAGCTCCCATTGGTTTTATAAATTGTTTTATCTCTTTTATTAAATTTCTTGCGGTGAAGTCTTACCTAAAACGCGGAGTATTAAGAGACTTCTACGAGCTAATGACTCCAACCACTCAGTGCTTTTTTGTCATTCTGACGGCAGTTGATGATTACATAAGACTTACATATATTCCGAAAATTTTCCGTTCACAAAATAATGACAACGGCCTCTCACTTTTACAGCCTACAGATAAAACAAACCAGTGATGGTCACATTTACTAACATTATAGAGAGATTGGTGTTATTTTTAATAAATAATTATCTCGCTGTCTCAGCCATTGATTACAGATTACATTTACACAGCGTTTCATTTTCCTTTGCGATAAATTCTTACCATTATTTTGACCTTTAATTATACCTTTCGAACTCTGCGTTTGCAAATTCTTTAAGTAACTCGCTGCTTTTATCTCAGACTCATGGAAAAAAAAAACAAAGTAATTCCATTATCTTCCGCCAATCTTGACTTTTTTTCGCTGAGAATTTGTATATGCACAAGTTTTTGCACTATATTACTTCGAGCCATAAAGCACACGCGCGTAGCTTGCAAGCCGGCTCTCACTAACGCGGCGATATGAGCGGCAACGCGTATGAACCAGCGAGCGATGTGCGCGCGCGAAAGGTCCGCGAGGGTTCAGGAACGAAAATGAATACCAAGCTCACCCCTCCCTCCTCATCACTTTATGTCAAAAACCCCAGTGAGACATTTTACGGAAAAAAAATTGAAGGGTATCCATACAGTTTTCCGACAATTATAATGTGCTGGCCAGATTAAAGTCTCCACATATAATTTTTTAAATAAACCATTAACCATGATGCCGCTAAAGGAAGTGCTGGTTACCCTTGTTCCCTTCCAAAAAAAAACAGTTTGAAAACTGGCCTTGAAGTTTCTCAGGGGAAGCGTTCGATGCCCTACTCATAACTTTAAGCAACCCTCATCAAAGTCAGATTTGTGGCCAATCAGAAATTGGAATCAAATCACGTGCGTCGAAGTGACAAAATAGGCCAATCAGCGATAAAAAGTAGATCACATGATCTAGGGAGAAAACAAAGCGCGTAGTTCAAAAACTTCACTCCCTGAAAATCAATTCAAGGCACAATATTCTACTGCACTTAAATCTCTCACTTACTCGCACCTTCGCTGCCTGAACTAAACTATCAGGAACCTAAGCAGGAAGTTTAAAAGAAGCGACAGAAAATACAGAATCACAGGTTTGTGTTTAAGCATTTTCATTCCACTTTTCAAACGCTGAGGCAACATTATTGTTCGCGTGCGGTGTAGAGAAAGTTCCGAGTACTTTCAAACCGTAAAATTTAAATATTACGTTCGTAAGTGTTTGTTTGTCTTGAAGTATGCAGCAAACAACTTTCTTTATTAACTTTGTGTAAATTACTTGTTTTTCTTCCAGGTTCATGGGGAAAAAAAAAATTAATTACTCGGTTTCTTAGCGCCTGTCGAGATGTTGTTACCAAACAAGAACAAAGTGCAGAGAAAACAACGTAATTAGGTGAGTGTTAAAACATTTCCTTGTTTAGTATACATGAAATTTGAATTAAAGGTAGGTTTTATTCGGGATAAAAGTTTCTCCCGTGGAAAAATTCGAAAAACTTGGTTGAAGTTGAAAAGTCTGGGCAAACATGGCCCGCGAAAGCGGCGCGTTTGGCGCGTAAAGGAATGAATGACTTACAGAACTCGTGTTCCAATTGTGAATGGGAAATAATCATTTACAATACTTCGCTAATTAATCTGACTTCAGAAAGTGAACTTTTTCTCAGCAACGACTGTTTGAATATAATTTCATTTATACCTCAAACAAATTAATAAAGAGAACTAACCCTAAGCAAGTCTACACCTGACTTTCCGCTTTGAAATTGAATGTATTGTATCAAAACGTCATGCAACAACATCACTGGCCTGAGCATTTTTGTTTTGTCCTGCATTAACGGAGAGATCTGATAATTATTCGTCGAGTAACAGCCCAAGTTTTGTAAAAAATAAATTACTAACTCTCCCTCATCAAGTGTAAAGTTCTTAAAAAAATTTCCGCAATCCGACAAACGACCACTTGTAAAATTTTATTCGAATTGACTGCACTCGGCTTAGTATTAATAGTCAATTCACACTTTGGTTAAAGCTTATTTCACTATGTCAACCGTGATTTCGACTGTCTATCAATAACTATCAAAGAACATTATTTTCGTAGGAAAAAAAATAACACAACAATTTTTAGCTCCACCCGCAAAGTTCTAAAAACATTTCCGCTAGACCACAAGCAGTGAGCTTAGCGATAATAGGTGAAAAAATACATGATAATGTTGTTTTTCACTGAATTTTTCAACCAAAAAGAATTTAAGAGAAATGTAAAAGAAAGAAACTGGTTAGATCAATATTTTTATTTGATTTTGTTTGATTTTGTTTTCACACCTACCGAGGAGCCCTTTAAAAGACCGCGGAATTTTTCCTTTTTAACTTTTCGCGAAATCTCTAAAGAAATACAAATTTGGCCTGCTCAGCCTTTATCTCTGTTCTGGAAAAAAAACCATCACATTCTATAAAATTCATGATGTACGATAAGTCACCAAATGTGATCACATCTACACTTTTTTCCTTTCACATTTTTAAGCAGAAGTAAACGTTCATTATCCAACACTTCAAGTGTAATTTGATGGGTTGTAAATGATCCCAGAACCTCATTTTCATGATATCAATAACAAGTACGTGAGAGAAAAAAGGTAACTTCACAGATTATCCTCGCTATTCCCTCAACTTAAACAGCCTGGATACTAGTTTTTCTTTTATGCTTATTGATATTGTAAGGAGAAATTAGATGTTGGTCACTCTTGAGGCCAAAGGGTTTAGCAAAATAAAACATTTTTGAGGAAAAAAAATTTTTTCACACGAAGACGATGCTTCTCCTCACAATTCAACAACACTATCTATCAAAACGAAGGTAAACACAAACAATTCTCCCTTCTAACTTACAAGTAAAAGGGTACAGGTTAAACAGAGAAATTACTTATCACACCGTGAGAGTTAAAGAAATAATATACAAACAATACTATAAAATTTGCAATTTTAGAAAAATCTCTGACCAGCCTTACCTGGCTTTTGGCTGATAATCCAATCAACTACCTCCAGTTCAGATCCACACCCACTTCAGATCTACATCCACTTCCAACAGTCCAGTCTATTCACCAACTCTGGTGGTTAAGCTTCAGTCTTAAAGACACGATACAGGTCACAACAGGTCAGAAAATTCCCTGTGGGTTTGGTGGAACTTCCAGTACCGGCAGTCTTGTCCACTCACCTTTCTACTTCAACTGCTTCCCAACTTACACTTCACAAGTCAAGGCTGACTCCTCCCAGTTTGATTCTGATGAGGAAAACATGAAGATGTGGGGAGTTGGACTGTTTGAGAAGATGAGACTACATGTCAAGTTTCTCTTCACTCCTTTCCAATGTCTGCTGCATCTTATTACATGTATTTACTCTGATGATCATCTGGGAATGAGTCGGTAAGAAGACCCTGATGGAAGACAAACACAACAGGTCAGACAATTCCTTGTAGGTTGGGCAAGAGGGACTACTACATAGTATGCTGGTTGAACCTTATTTTAAATTTCCGACAGAAGTCTGTGAACTTCTCATTCGGCATAATTTAACGTAGTTAGTGTAGTTAGTTGGATCCCCTGGGATTGGCTGGGCCTCCCTTTTTTCCAACCCTTAATTTTAATTGGGTTCCTTTTCAGGTATTTTCGGCTTTGGTTAGGTTTCGGCTTAAGGTTTTTCTTTCTGCAACTTCGGCCTTGATTCTACGTCAAAACTGGATCCACAACACACATCCTTCAGGACTACAATGGCTCTTTAACGATGGACACCGACATCGACTTTCCGCGCTGGATCTCCCTGCTTAGTCGCGCCTAAAAAAAACAATTTTATAATGTTTCACCTGATAGCAGCACTTCCATGAACTGCAATCTAGTGAAGCATTTCCAACCAAATTTAACCAAAATATTACTGCGGCAAACCATTTTGGCCAAAGGTTCAACCAGACATTAATTAGGTCATTTAACTGGAGAAGTTAAGCCATTCAACTAGGAAGTGTGCTCATTTGCTACTTCTATCATGTTTAATGGTTTAACTCCAGTTGAAGCCGAATGTTGAGGCTTCATTTAGTGGGAAATAGTAACTGCATACATCAGCTTAGGTCACAAAGAAAATAAACTAGGCTAATTATCAGCTGTATTTTGACAGCATAACAGCTGTCACTCCAAATTATGGGCCAATGAATGTCAAAAATATGATACATCAATTAACATCTGGGAGCAAACAAGGAGACACAAGGAAGAGAAGGGAGAGTTTCAAGAAATGGCCCAGAATCAATACTTGCTTTTAAAACATACATTAGGCCAATTCTTTTGACAAGTCAGCTTACAAGCTATCACCAAATTTTGCAAAATCAATTCTTCACTCAACATCCCAGCCTGATGTGTACAGCAACCAACCCTTATAAAGGTAGGGCAAGGTCTCCGAGACGTCACCAGGTGGGTGGGTTTTATTTTCTTTTCCGAGTTCGGCTTTCGGCTTGAAATTCACTTCGGCTATTAATCCGGCTTTCGATTTCAACACCAAGTGGCATCTAATTTATTGTATAAAGGCTTGGTAACGACCTTGACTCGTTAGCTAGCCACCCTCTCACATCATCTGGGGCACCATGAGTGTTCTAATCGGGGTGTCAACATTTACTGACACAGAAACACTTGAGGTTTCTACAGATGCTAAATTTTTCATTTAGGAAAGCGCATCCCACCCTTATCATTAACTAAGGATTCATGTAATATTAAGAAGAAAAATAATAAAATCGCAAAATTCTGTGTGTTTGTGTTATTTTCCTAAATGTCAAATACGCTTCAAATTTTATTAACATAACATTATTAACCCCAGATTTTTTTCAGAAGGAAGGTAGGTGCTACTAACATCATTTATTTCAGGATTTTTTAGGCCCATTTTCGGGGGCAAAGTTGCATCAAGACTAATAACACTGATTACACCTACAAGCACTAAGCATGTCAATTACATCTTTCGAAAACAATAAAACCACAAACTTCTGTGTGTCTGTGTCATTTTCTCAATGTTCAGTTAAACATTAAGCAAAAATACTATACTAAATAAATATCTACATTTCAGGACTACATACAACTCTTATTTCAGAAACTAAAACAAGCCCATTTTCGGGGGCACATTTGCTGTGAGGTGGTTGAAGGCGCCTTCCTTCCTTTGAGAAACCATTTCAAGTCCATTTTCGGGGACAAGTCCATTTTCGGGGACAAGTCCATTTTCGGGGACAAGTCCATTTTCGGGGACAAGTCCATTTTCGGGGACAAGTCCATTTTCGGGGACTAGCTTATTTTCGGGAGCAAACATTTCAACTTTCGTAAAAATGAAAATACTAACCTTTACATATTCCAGGAAAGATGATGTAGCTCATGATCACATGGACCAGTAAAGAAAGATGCAAAGAAAAGAACCCTTTTCATCTCAAGCTCATCTGGTAAGTTCGCTTTGTGTGTAAACATAACAACGTACATTCTTGGCTTTTCAGGTCATCTCTTCAGTGAGATCATCAACACCGACAAGGCTGTGGAAAAATAAGGTAAAACACATCAAAAGTATAAATTTATAAAAATTGTAACAATTTTACCTGCGCACAGAAATTTCAGATTTTAAACCGTTCCACCCCCTATAGGGGTGAATTGAGTAAAAAGTGAATTGACATAGAACAAAAAGCAAGTTTTTCAGAACATATTGCTGAAGTATAAATTCTATCTACAATAAAGCCAAATTTCAAGCTTTTTTGGGGGCATAAAGCCACTAAAGCAAATTCAGTGACTGAGTCATCAACAGAGACTCCATCATTTATCTTTTGGACAAAACAAATTATATAATAGGGCATCATTTGCAAAAAGGTCAAGTGCATTTGGAATGCTGCTGTAGGAAATCTGTTACTTAACCCTTGTGTAGTTTAAATCCTACTAGGCACTTCCAGCTGGAAAGAAAATCGTTAACTTGGATACAACAGAACAGCTGTTCACTACCCACATCAAGCCAGCTACTGCACCTACAAAAACACCAAGTCAGTTATCTGGATCAAATGCAAGTAAGTGAAGTCAGTCATGTATCACCACCCTCCACCTTGTCCTTCATTCCAGCAACAAAACTTAAAGCCAAGAAGCAAGAACTGGGCTATTTAGTCCTTCACTTCAGCCCCTGGAGAAGACAAACCAAACTTGAGGCTAAGAGACAAGAAGTGGAATCTTCAGTCCCTCACTTCAGCCTCGATGGAAGACAACAATGCTTGACACTAGGAAGAGAAACGAATATTTAATCCTTCACTTCAGCTCCTTTAAAAAGCAACACAAATTGAAGCTAAGAGACAGAAACTGTAATATCAAGTCCTTCACTTCAGCCCCAGAGAAGACAAACCAAACTTGAGGCTAAGAGACAAGAAGTGGAAGTCATTTCAGCTCCTATAGAAGACAACAATGCTTGAAGCTAAGAGGTACAAACTGGAATATTTAGTCCTTTACTTCAGCTCCTAAAGAAGACAACAAAAATTGAAGCTAAGAGGCAGAAACTGGAATATTAAGTCCTTCACTTCAGCCCTAGAGAAGACAAAAACAAAACTTGAGGCTGAGAGACAATTAAGAAGTGGAATCTTCAGTCCCTTATTTCATTTAGTCCTTTAATTTATTTCAGCTTCTTTAGAAGACAACAAAAACTGAAGCTAAGAGGCAGAAATTGAAATATTTAGTCCTTTACTTCAGCTCCTATAGAAAAAAACAAAATTGAAGCTAAGAGGCAACAATTGGAATATTAAGTCCTTCACTTCAGCCCTGTAGAAGACAAATAAGATCGAGGCTAAAAGACAAGAACTGGAATCTTCAGCTCCTATAGAAGACATCAAAAATTGAAGCTAAGAGACAAGAACTGGAATATTTAGTCCTTTACTTCAGCTCCTAGAGAATATAATAATATTTGAAGTCGAGAGACAAGAACCAGAATATTGAGTTCTTTACAACATATCCTATTGAAGACAAACAAGACTTGCGGCTACATGGCAAGAACTGGAATCTTTAGTCTTTTCTTTTAGCTCCTATGGAAGACAACAAAGCTTAAAGCAAAGAAGCCAGAACTGGAATAATTATTCCTTCATTTTAGCTCTTATACATGTTGAGACAATGAGGCTAAGAGGCAAGACCTGCAGTATATAATCCTTTCTTTCAGCTCCTAGAACAAAGAGGCAAGAATTGGAATCTTTACTCCTTTACTTCATTTTTTAAAGAAGACAACAAGACTGAAGCTTCCAGGCACGAAATGGAATATTTAGTCCTTTATTTCAGCTTGTAACAAAGACAACAAGACTTAGAGCAAAGAGGAGGAACAGGAATATTTGGTCCTTCCCATCAGCTCCCAAAGAAGAAAACTCTTGAAGCTATTAAGTAATCATTGGAATGTTTAGTATTTTGCTTCAGCACCAATAGAAGACAGAGCAGATTTGAAGCTAAGAGGCAAAGCTTGGAATATTTAGTCTCTACCTTCAGCTCCTTTAGATGAAAGACAAGACTTGAAGCTAAGAAGCAAAACTTCAATCTACCAGTTGTTGCATTTGGTTCCTACCTGAGGGAACAACACCAAAGTATTACAAGAGCAATTTATGGAACTTCCTGGGATCTAGCTCTTCCTCTTATATCCCTACCTGCAACTCTCTCCCTAACAAGAATCTGAGGTTATCTCCCTTGATAACTGTAATTATGGTCTGCTAGAGTTTCACTGTGATAGACTCTATCTTCATGTTCTTTATTTAGTTCAGCTTTCTACATCTTTGCCAGTGTGGAATTCCATTGCTTAGGATCTCTCTCTTATGTCCTTGTATGTGTAACAAAGTGGAATCTTTTGTCTCTTGTTTCAGCTTCTATAGAAGACAGCAACACTTGAAGCTACGAGGCATGAACTGGAAAAATTACTTCAGCCATTATAGGAGACAACAATACTTGAAGTTGAGAGAAAACTGGAAAATGCAGTCCTTCCCTTCAGCTCTTATTGAAACACAACTTGAGGCTAAGAGACAAGAAGTGGAATCTTCAGTTCCTCATTTGAGCTTCTAAAGAAGACAACAATGCTTGAAGCTAAGAGGCAAAAACTGGAATATTTAGTCTTTCACTTCACCTCCTAATGAACACAACAAAACTTGAAGCTAAGAGAAAAGAACTGGAAAAATTTAGACCTTCATTTCAGCTCCAAAAGAAGACAACAAGACTTGAAGTTAAGAGACAAAGTTCTTCACTTCAGCTCCTATAGAAGACATCAAAAATTGAAGCTAAGAGACAAGAACTGGACTATTTCATACTTTAGTTCATTTTCTATTGAAGACAACAAGAATTGAAGCTACCAGACAAGAAATGGAATATTCAGTCCTTTACTTCAGCTTGTAACAAAGACAATAAGACTTGAAGCAAAGAGGAAAAAACAGGAATATTTAGTCCTTCCTTTCAGCTCCTAAAGAAGAAAACTCTTGAAGCTACAAGGCAATCAACGGAATGTTTAGTCCTTCACTTCAGCTCCACTAGAAGGCAGAGGAAATTTGAAGTTAAGGGGCAAAGCTTGGAATATTTAGTCTTTCTCTTCAACTCCTTTAGAAGACAGACAAGACTTAAAAGATAAGAAGCAAGAACTAGATTATGTTGACCTGAACTTCACTTCCTAGAGAAGACAAGACTTGAAGCTACGAAGCAAAACCTGGAGTTCCCAGTGGTTTCATTTGGCTTCTACAAAAGGGAACAACACTTGAATATTATGGAACTTCCTGCAATGTAGCTCTTCTTATGTTTCTACCTGCAGCTCTTTCCCTAACAAGGTTTCCAGAGTCTGAGGTTATCTCCCTAAGTAACTGGAGTTCCCAGTGGTTTCATTTGGCTCCTACAAAAGGGAACAACACTTAAATATTATGGAACTTCCTGCAATGTAGCTTCTCCTATGTTCCTACCTGCAACTCTTTCCCTGACAAGGTTTCCAGAGTCTGAGGTTATCTCCCTTAGTAATTGCTAACATGGTCTGCTTGAGTTTCACCCTGATGAACTCTATCCTTGTGTCCTAATGTTGATGTCATCTCTGGCATTCCCTTCTTTACTTCCGCCTCCTATATATTTGCCAGTATAGAATAAAATTCAATTGCTTAAGAGCTCTCTCTTATGTTCTCATATGTGTAGCTTACTTTCAAGGGAGCAACTGATGACAGAGCTTAATGCAAATAGAGAAATGAGCTTCCAACTTAAGTACAGTGAGCCAACACTCACAGACATCAGTCCCATAAAAAAAATCCACTCGAGCATCAATAGCATGCACATGTATTTTCCACACAACTGAGTCCTTCGAAAGGAATAAGATAATCCAGTTAAGCTCTGAATCAAGACTTTTTCTGAGATCAAGCCTTGAGATGTTTACAGATTCATTAACCAGTACCTTGGATATTTTTATAGTTCTTCAAATGAGTTCTTAACAAAGGAACAACAGACTGAGGCTCAGAAGCAAGCACTTATAAGTACATTCTTCACCACTTAGCCTTTAGTAGAGAATTTAAAGACAAAAACAAAAAAGAACAAGTTCTTGGGAATCAGTACACAGCCATCAGACTTCATCAACATCCTGTCTTCAGCTTTTATCCCCAACAACCAAATGAAAGGTTACAATACAACAATGTGATTGTTCAACACTGAATATCATCAGCTAAAGCCAATCACAGGTATTACATCAAGCAAAGTTTTCCCTTACATTGATGTTCCACACTGTCACATTAACACTCTCTAATTGATCACGAGGTTAAACTCATTCTCAGTAAACAAAATACTTCATTTTGAGCTGTTTTAATTTTCCACAAAGTGGACAAGAGCTCCACTACCAACTTGAGCAACCATCACAAAGACCTTCACCAAGTTCAAAACCTACCTTACATTCCAAGCACTCCTCTTTTTAGGTGCTGCCATGTTTCATCCCTCTGAGCCAAAGAGACATGTAATAGAAATTTGTAAACATAGCCATGCATATCTGCGTCTGGTTTAGTAGTGAGTCACTGAACCCCACTCTCTTGCTAGCAGAGTGCTCTCTCTTTTAATCCAAGTCATGTGCTTTCATCCTGATCCACAATGCTTATCCACAAAGTGGACAACAATTTTACTTGTTTCTTGGGCTTGATCTTTATAACAAGGCCTAAAACAATTTCAAAGGACACTTCTATGATTATGGATCTCAGCATAAGAACTGCAACACAGTTTCCTATCATTCTCTTTCTCAGCATTTGACCTGGTAAAGGTTCCAAAACCTACTTTACATCACAAAATGTTCTCTCTCAAAGCACTTATTACAAATTGCTTCCATGTTTCATCCATATGAGCCAAAGAGACATATAATACCTACATGTATTTGCATGCATAGCCACGTCACCTGAATCTTGTATGAGAGTATGAGTCACTGATCCCCACAATCTTATGGGCAAAGTGCTCTCTCTTTCTTTATCTACCAATCACATCCTTCCATCCAAATCCACATCACTTTCTGTTGCTTGTTGTGTTTTGTTGTTTTTTATTTTCTTTTTGTTTGGATGGTTCTAATTATGTCAGCCACATGGAAACCACACTGGGCAAGCAGACTTAGGTGGGTAGATGACTACAGCATTCCAACAACCTCTTATGTAAATTGACAGCCTCTGTACATGCAACAAAGTGTTTTGAACACTCCAGTGAAATTTCCATTTGTGCACCAATGAAAGTATTTCTTGAGGAATTCTTAACAACAATTTTAAAAGTTTTCAAATTCCCAAAATTCTTACAGTTTTCAGAATGACCTTTACTCATAGGAAACACATTCCTGAGTGACAATTTTTTGTCCTGTTGGTCAAATTAATTATCATGACACTGTCTCTGCAGCTCTCCCTTCCATTGCTGAAGTTTGAAAAAAATTCTTGCAATCAAAAAACAACTGTACTAAAGTTTTCTGCCATAAAATATATCAATTTTCACCTGGCATTGACATCTGTTAATTACCATACCTGACTTAGTCCTCAGAAAATGGTCCACTTCCAGTTCCTCCAGTCCAGTCACCTTCCTTCTCCAACTGCTTCCCAACTAACACATCACAAGTCAAGGCTGACTCCTCCCAGTTTGATTCTGATGAGGAAAACATGAAGATGTGGGGAGTTGGACTGTTTGGGAAGATGAGACCTCATGTCAAGTTTCTCTTCACTCCTTTCCAATGTCTGCTACATCTTATTACATGCATTTACTCTGATGATCACCTGGGAACGAGTCAGTAAGAAGACTCTGATGGAAGACAAACACAACAGGTCAGACAATTCCTTGTAGGTTGGGCAAGAGGGACTACTACATAGTACGCTGGTTGAACCTTATTTCAAATTTCTGACAGAAGTCTGACAACTTCTCATTCGGCTTAATTTAACGTAGTTAGTTTAGTTAGTTGGGTCCCCTGGGATTGGCTGGGCCTCCCTTTTTTCCAACCCTTAATTTTAATTGGGTTCCTTTTCAGGTATTTTCGGCTTTGGTTAGGTTTCGGCTTAAGGTGTTTTTCTTTCGGAACTTCAGCTTTGATTCTACATCAAGACTGGATCAACTGCACACATCCTTCAGGACTACAATGGCTCTTCACCCATGGAAACCAACACCAATTCCTCCATGCTGGAGCTCCCTGCTTAGTTGCGCCAAAAAAAAACAATTTTATAATGTTTCACCTGATAGCAGCACTTCCATGAACTGCAATCTAGTGAAGCATTCTTACCAAATTTAACCAAAATATTACTGCGGCAAACCATTTTGGCCAAAGGTTCAACCAGACATTAATTAGGTCATTTAACTGGAGAAGTTAAGCCATTCAACTGGGAAGTGTGCTCATTTGCTACTTCTATCATGTTTAACAGTTTAACTCCAGTTGAAGCCATTTGTTGAGGCTTCATTTAGTGGGAAATAGTAACTGCACACACCAGCTTAGGTCACAAAGAAAATAAACTAGGCTAATTATCAGCTGTATTTTGACAGCATAGCAGCTGTCACTCCAAATTATGGGCCAATGAATGTCAAAAATATGATACATCAATCAACATCTGGGAGCAGAAAAAGGAGTCACAATGGAAAGGAGACATCGTAATATAGTTTCAAGAAATGGCCCTGAATCAAAATCAGCTTTTGAACCATACATTAAGCCAATTTGTTTGACAAGACAGCTTACAAGCTGTCACCAAATTTGGCAAAATCAACTCTTCACTCAACATCCCAGCCTGATGTGTACAGCAACCAACCCTTATAAAGGTAGGGCAAGGTCTCCGAGACGTCACCAGGTGGGTGGGTTTTATTTTCTTTTCCGAGTTCGGCTTTTGGCTTGAAATTCACTTCGGCTATCAATCCGGCTTTCGATTTCAACACCAAATGGCATCCAATTTATTTTAAAACAGCTTGGTAACGACCTTGACTCGTTAGCTAGCCACCCTTCTAGACCATCTGGGGCACCATAAGTGTTCTAATCGGGGTGTCAACATTTACTGACACAAGAACACTTAAGGTTTCTGCAGATGCTAAATTTTTCATTTAGGAAAGCGCATCCCACCCATAACTATTATAATTTATCTAAGGATTAATGTAATCTTTTCAAAAAAATAAAATCACAAAAATCTGTGTTTGTGTCATTCTCCTAAATAAATTAGCTACAAATTACAATTAACAGAACATCACTAACACCAGATTTTCTTTTCCAGAAGGAAGTTAGGTGCTACTAACACCTTTTATTTCAGGCTTTTTGGGCCCATTTTCGGGGGCAAAATTTTTCTCTACTCGCTACTTTTCTTTTAGCAGCTTAAACAAGCCCATTTTCGGGGGCACATTCGTTGTGAGGTGGTTGAATGCCCCTCTTTCTGTTTGAGAAATCATTTTAAGTCCATTTTCGGGGACTAGCTCATTTTCGGGAGCAAACATTTCAGCTTCGGTAGAAATGACAATACTAACTTTTTACACATTCCAGGAGTGATGATATTGTAGGTGATCACATGGACCAGTAAAGAAAGATGCAAAGAAGAGAACCCTTTCCAACTCAAGCTCTTCCTGCAGATGGTAAGTTAGCTCTGTGTGTATACCATGATAACTGCATGTGGGCTTCATTTTTCAGGTTATCTCTTCAATGAGATCAGCAACACTAACACCAAGCAAAGGCTGTGGAAAAATCAGGTAAAACTCAAAAAAGCATAAAAATAAATGGTAACCATTTTAGCTGGTCAAAGAAAATAAAAAAGAGGAACCAAACAGGCAAATTTCAAACATACCAACATCCTAAAAGGGTGAATTAAGTAAAAGGTCAGAGTAAAGATTTCATTTACCGGACAAATTCCAAGGTTTTCTTTTTTTGTAGTAAGCTCCTAGAGCAAATTCAGCAATGGAGTCATTCACAGAATTTCATTCATTTTCTTTTTCAACACACCAAATTATATACATATGTACTGAGTTCATAGGAGCACTGTCAGTAGGAAATGTGTTACTTAACCTTTGTGTAGTTTAAATCTTACTTATAGGCACTTTACAGTTACAAAGTAAATGGTTTGCTTGGAATACAACAAAGGCTGTACTTCCCACAACATGCTAGCCTACTGCACTTAACAAAACAACCAGTCAATTTCTTTGGATCAACTGCAAGAATATGAAGTCAGACAAATATCACCTTACGCAGTAAGACCTGGAATATAAAGTGCTTCACTTCACCACTTGAGGAAGAAATAAAGGCTTGAAGTTGAAAGGCAAGACCTGGAATGTTTAGAGAAACACATTCCCCCTTGATAAAGAAACGAAGGCAAGAATTGAAGTATATGGAGGTACATGTACACATCAGTTCTTAACAGACTAGAAGCTAAATGGCAAGACCTGGAATACTAAGAAGTATGAATTCACTCTTTATGGAGAAACAGAGGCTTTAAACTTAAAGACAAGAACTGATGCATTTAGTCCTTCATTTGAACTTCCATGGAAGGTTACAAGATTTGAAGCTTGGAGGCAAGATCATGAAAATTTAGTGTTACTCATCAACTCCTAATGAAGAAATAAAGGCTTGAAGCTAAAAAACAAGAATTGGAATATTTAGTCGTTCATATTTTCAGCGCCAATACTGAGAAGACACTACGATGTGAGGCTAAAAGGCAAGAACTAGAATATTTAATCCTCCAATTCAACTCCTATGGAGGACAAGAAGATTTGAAGCAAAAAGGTGAGAATTTGAATATTTAGTGCATCACATAACCTCTTGATGAAGAAACAAAGGCTTGAAGCTAAAGGACAAGACATGGAATATTTAATCCTTCAGTTTAACTCCATAGATGACAACAAGACTTCACGCTAAGAGGCGAGGACTAGATATTTAGTTCCCTATTTCAACTACTATAGAAGGTTACAAGACTTGAAGCTAAGAGGAAAGAACTGGAATATTAAGTCTTTCATTTCAACTCCTATGGAAGACAACAAGATGTGAGGCTAAGAGGACAAACTGGAATATTTTGGCCTTTGGTTCAGCTCCTGTGGAGGACAGCAAGACTTCTAGGTAAGAGACTAGAAGTGGAAAGCCTAGTGGCTCCATTTGGCTCTTATAAAAAGGAACAAGACTGAAGTATTACAAGATATATCTGTAAACCTTCCTGTGTTTTAGCTCCACCTGTATGTCCCCAACTGCAACTATTTCCCTAACAGGGTTTTCTAGGACCCGAGGTCTGATTAAGTCTCACTGTAATAGACTTTATCCTGTCTTTTCAAATATGTTGATTCCATCCCTGGCATCTCTGTCTTTCCTTCAGCCCTATTAATCTTTGCCTGCATAGTATACAATTCTATGGTTTAAGATCTCTCCAATAATCTCATGTGTGGATCACTTTCTTCCTGTGATACCACTGATTTTACACATTTAGTTGTTCATAAGCAAGGGTGCAAGTGATGACAGAGCTTATTGCGGAAATAATTAAATAACTTCTGACCAAAGCACAATGAGCTATAAACTCAAATTAATGTACACGGCAGTCCCAAGAGGAAAAAAGTTAAACCTACCCAAGCACCGATGGCATGTACATGTATACCACCACACCTTTCATAAAGATATAGAAGATGTTCAGGTAAGAGATGTAAGCTCTAGCAAAAGAAACACAGCCTTGATTCAACAGGCAAGACCAGGAATAATTTGAGGTTCACTTACATTCTTCAGTTACAAGATGTAAGCTCTAACAGAAGAAACACAACCTTGATTCAACAAGCAAGACTTGGAATAATTTGAGGTTCACTTACACTCTTCAGAAAGAAACAAAGGATTGAAGCTAAGAGACAAGATCTAGAATGTTTACAAGTAAATGTCACCTCTCAATCAGGAAAAAAAAAAGGCATGATGCAAACAAGCAAGACCTGGAATATCAAGTGGTTTGGTTCAGTGAAGAAACAGGCCTGAAGCTAAGCTAGTGATTCTCAGCTATTAACCCTTTACACCCTAAGATCAGTATGCATACTCTCCACACTGTTCTTTATACATTTCCTAAGGTGCTGATGAGGAGAATTTGTTGGCCAATCAAAAGGTTTCTTCCCTAGTGACCATTTCCTTTATTCCCATGACCATAATGTGAGATTGAGGAGTGATGTTGTTGGGAGAAATTAGATGCTTGTCACTCTAAGGGTTTAAAGGGTTAACAAAAGAAAAACAGACTGAAGCTAACAAGCAAGACCTGTATGTGTATATTCTCCACCACTCAAACTGACACAGGCAAGTTTTTGGGAATCAATTCACAGCCATCAGACTTTGTCAACATCCTGTCTTCAGCTTTTATCCCCAACAACCAAATGAAAGGTTACAATACAAAAAAGTGATTGTTCAGCTCTTCATAACAATCGGCTAATGCCAGTCACAGCTATTGAACCAAGTAGAGTTGTTCCCTTTCATGGCTATTCTACACTGATATCTTAACACTCTCTCACTGACCATGAGGCATGAGGTTTTAAACTCATTCTTAGTCTGCAAAATACGTTATTTCAAACTGTTTTTCCTCAATGTGGACAAGAGCTCCACTTGAGCAACAATCACAAAGGCCTTCAACAGCTTCAATGGATATCTCTAATATGGATGTCTATGGCCTTGTCATTTATCTTGAAGGAAAGGTTCTGAAACCTGCTGTACATCCCAAGCACTTCTTTCAAAGTGCTGACATGTTTCAACCCTATGAGCACAAGAGACAACTATAAAACAAATTTGCATGCATAGCCACACTGATCTGCATCTGGCTTAACAGTTTGTCACAGGGTCCCATTTTTTTGCTGGTAGAGTGTGCCCTCTTTCTTTATTCAAGGGTCATGTGCTTCCATCCTAATCCACACTGCTTATTCAAAAAGTGAGGAAACACTTGCAACTTGGACTTGATCCTTCTAACAAAAGCCCACAACAACTTCAAAGGTCACTTCTCTGATTAAGGATATCAGCACAAGAACTACAACAAAGTTTCCTATCATGCTAAGTACTTGACCATATAACTGTTCCAAAACCTTCTTAAAATCCCGTTATGTTCTCTCTCCAAGCACTTGATGAGCCAAAGACTGAGACATATAATACAATACAAGTATTTGCATGCATAGCCATGCAGATCTCCATCTTGTTTGAGTATGAGTCACTGATCCCTGCTCTCTTATACGCAAAGTGCTCTCTCTTTCTTATATACAAGTCACATGCTTCCATCCCAATCCACATCACTTTTTGTGGTTTGTTTGTTTTTTTTTTAATTTCATGTTTGTCAGGATGGTTCAAAAATTATCCTAGTGGCACAAAAATTGAGCTTCATTGGGGTTCAATACCACCAAAAGAATTTAAAAGATAATAAGGTCTGGTTAAAAGCTTCACAATATGGCATCCAACTTAATACAATTTGGATTCATGTTTTGCTGTTGGTATAGGACTAGGTTGGTACCAAAAGTATCTCTTGCATTGGGATTCAAACCCAAGACAGTTGATGAGAAAAAATTTTAAAAAAGAAATAAATCGGAGATATTTTTGTCTCAATGGGATTCAAACCCATTCACCTAAATGCTAAATGCTGTAAGGCATGACTGTGCACTTATGCAACTGTAACTAGGTCAGAACTAGAAAATGGCTGCTGAAGAAGATAGTCAACAGGCCAGACAGAGGTCAAAAAGGGATCAATCCTCACAACATCCAAACATCAGCCACATGGAGACCACACTGAACAAGCAGACTTAGGTGAGTAGATGACTATAGTATTACAACAACCTCAAAGGAAAAATTCCCTTTGTCAAAGAAGAAAGTTTTTCTGGAGGAATTCTTCACAACAATTTTATAACTTTTCAAATTCCCAAAATTCTTATATCATATCCCAAAATATAACTGAATAATCATATATTCATTTTTAGCCTCTGGTATTGACATCTGTTAATTACAGTACCTGCCTTAATCCTGATAAAATGGTCCACTTCCAGTTCCAGCAGTCCATTCCAGTCCAGTCACCTTCCCGAGACAAGTCAAGGCTGACTCCTCCCAGTTTGATTCTGATGAGGAAAACATGAAGATGTGGGGAGTTGGACTGTTTGGGAAGATGAGACTGCAAATCAAGTTTCTCTTCACTCCTTTCCAATGTCTGCTGCATCTTATTACATGTATTTACTCTGATGATCATCTGGGAATGAGTCAGTAAGAAGACCCTGATGGAAGACAAACACAACAGGTCAGACAATTCCTTGTAGGTTGGGCAAGAGGGACTACTACATAGTACGCTGGTTGAACCTTATTTCAAATTTCCAACAGAAGTCCATGAACTTCTCATTCGGCTTAATTTAATGTAGTTAGTTTAGTTAGTTGGGTCCCCTGGGATTGGCTGGGCCTCCCTTTTTTCCAACCCTTAATTTTAATTGGGTTCCTTTTCAGGTATTTTCGGCTTAGGTTAGGTTTCGGCTTAAGGTTTTTCTTTCTGCAACTTCGGCCTTGATTCTACATCAAGACTGGATCTACTGCACACAACCTTCAGGACTACAATGGCTCTTCAACCATGGATACCGACATCAACTCTTTCACGTTGGATCTCCCTGCTTAGTTGCGCCTAAAGAAACAATTTTATACTGTTTCACCTGATGGCAGCAATTCCATGGACTGCAATCTAGTGAAGCAGTTTTGACCAAATTAAACCCAAAAATTATTACAGCAAACAGTTTTGGCCAAAGGTTCAACCAGACATTGACTTAGTTAATATATATGACTGGATAACTTAAACCATTCAACTGGGAGGTGTGCTCATTTGCCACTTCTATCATGTTAAAAGGTTTAAATCCAGTTGAAGCCGCTTGTCGAGGCTTCATTTAGTGGGAAATAGGGAACTGCACACACCAGCTTAGGTCACAGAAAAAAACAAGTAGGCTAATTATCAGTTGCAATTTGATAGCATCACAGCTGTCAGTCAAAATTGCGGGCCAATTTATCTTGAACTCGATTATCAAAACATCATGGATCAGACAAGGAGTCACAATGGAGAGGAAACATCATGTTAGTCTTAAGATATGGCCCAGTTGAAATTTTTGCTTTCAATTCATACATTAAGCCAATTATTTTGACAAGTCAGCTTACAAGCTGCCACCAAAAAAATTGGGAAATTAAATACTCTTCACTCCCATAGCCAATCACAGAGGCTTGATGTGTACAGCAACCAACCCATACAAAGGTAGGGCAAGGTCTCCGAGATGTCACCAGGTGGGTGGGTTTTATTTTCTTTTCCGAGTTCGGCTTTCGGCTTAAAATTCACTTCGGCTATAACTTCGGCTTTTGATTTCAACACCAAATGGCATCCAATTTTTTTATTAAGGCTTGGTAACGACCTTGACTTGTTAGCTAGCCACCTTCTAAACCATCTGGGGCACCATGAGTGTTCTAATCGGGATGTCAACATTTACTGACACAAGAACACTTGAGGTTTCGACAGATGCTAAATTTTTCATATAAGAAGCGCATCCCACCATCAACTATAATTAAACTAGGGACTGATGTAATAATTCAGAAAAAAATAAACAGCAGCAACCTGTGTGCGTGTGATTTTTCTTTACAAAAGTAGCTAAAAATTAAATAATATCTTTACTAATATATTTACTTTTCAGGGTAAGTTTACTAACACCTTTTATTCTAGCAGTTCCGAGCCCATTTTCGGGGGCACATTTGCAGTTTGATGGTTACATAATATAACAAAAGAGTGTCACCAAAATAACAGATTTACTGTGTCTTAAGAATGATGTTCATCTAAACAAAAAATAAATAAAAAAACAAACCTGTGTTTCTGTGTGACTTTCTTAGAAAATAATAATTACTAACAACTGCCTCTTTTCAGGAGTAGGGTAAGTGTCATTATTTCAGGCTAACTTAATTAATTCTTTTTTTCAGGACCAGGTAAGTGTACTAACAAAATTTACTTTTATTAGCAGCTCCAAGCCTATTTTGGTTGTACAGTGGCAGTTTCATGGTTTACTATTCATTACACCATCAGTCTCTTAAAAATAAATAAATTTTTTTTACTAATATCATGTTACTAATCAGTATGTTCTCAAACTTTTATTTTAAACAGCAAAAAAGGTGAGTGGTACTTAAGTCTCTTATTTCAGTCTATCTCTTATAAAAACAAGGTAAGTCCACCAAAATGTTTACATTAGGAACTCGAGGCCTATTTTCTAAGGCAGATAGCTCGATTCATAGCAGGAAAAAGAATTCAAACCACAAACAAATGTACAAATGCTTAATATTTTTGCAGCTCATACACAGCTCATTCACAGCCTCTTCAAAAGGTAAGTAAGCTAAACTTTTATGAATACAGAATGCAATAACAGCTTGAAATCTTTTAATTAGTTTCCAGGAAATCTGATCATTCGAGAGCACCAAAAGTTAGCCAGACAGAATTCATAGATCATATCCAGGTAAGCATTTAACTCCAAGAAGTGATAAACATGTAACTTCTCCCAATAATATTAGTCTATACATTATCCAGCAAACAGGTAAGGAGAATACTAAATCTTATCAGGTAGAAATTGTTCAGCAAATAAACTCAAAAACCTCTGATACGTTTTTACCCTTTAACTCTCAGATCAAATTTGTAATTCTCCTTACTGTCAACCATACACTTCTAATAATGTTAGTTGAGATAATTTAGCATCAGATCAACTAATTATCCCCAAATTGACTGATATATTTTTTTATTCTCATCAATGGTATATGAACATTGTACAGAGAATGGTGTATAAATATTGTATAGAGAAATTCTGTCTTGATCACTCGTGGGAGTTAAAGGGTTTAATACAGACTGCTTGAATCCTAAATTATTATTCATCTGGTTTCACCTAGGAAAACTAAGTGTGAAAATTTTGAGTGTCAGCAAGATTGACATTCCAAATTATTCAAAATAAGTTACAAACATTAAGCACTACTAGTACTACCTTCTTCATAACATTAATATGATCTGTTATTTCATTTTTTTCAGCTTGTACAAATGTAACTACCAATGGCTAGAAAGGAGATATTTAAATATTAATAAAAAGTAATTTATAACAGAAAATCGCCAACAAAGGTTGTGTAATTAATAAAACATTATGTGATGAAAACATTTTAAGCAACCTTCAAACCCCAAAGGTTTAATCACCATAGCATAGGTTCGGGGAACATGGTCCCCATTTTTCCCCATGTGGGGTTTTTGGGGTTTACATGTCCGGCTGTGGTGCAATTACTTATTCCACCTTAAAATTAGTGTTCATATTCTCCCTACTTTTTCCTTGACTTTTCCAATGGCATTGACCAGGAGAATTTGAAAAACAGTCAAGAGCTTCCGTAGTTGGAAATCACTTATTTCATTTTAATGAGCTAAATGTTTGATACAACATTAATACTGTAAGAAATAGTTGTAGATGCTAGTCACTCATTGTAAAAAGTAGCTCATTTTAATGAGCTAAATGTTTGATACAACATTAATACTGTAAGAAATAGTTGTAGATGCTAGTCACTCATTGTAAAAAGTAGCCTTAAAACTTTCTTCAATATGTTGTTCAATGTAATACATATTTCACCTAGACAAACAACAAATCTTAAAAAACTTACATTTGATATGAAGTAACTTTTTTGTCCCCAAAAAAGAGCTTTGACTTGAATTTAAATCAAGGTTGCTAGAAATTAAAACATGACATTTCAAAATTTGTATATTTTGAACTTGGAACATTCTGAGCTCTCCAGAATATGCTCTAAAGCTGACAACTTAACAGCTAACCTTTTACATCACTAATTGCATTATTACTGAAGGAGAAATCTGAGTGTTCCAGGGTTGATTTTAATCCAAATTTTTAATTTTTTTTTTTTTGGGAAAATGATTCAAGTCTCAGCTCATTGCAATTTTTTTAAGTACTTAGTTAATGTTAAGATTTCTCAATCCACATCTTTTAAAATTTTTTTTTAA